TCCCCAAAAACAGCTAATTATCTGCTTTACAACAACCAAATTGTGTTGTGGCACTTTACACAACTGTGGTATTGTGAAAAAGTGTGCAATGCTTGTCATACTGTAAGTAAAAAAAACCCCATCATTTTAACCTTATTTTGGGGCAAAGTCACCAAACTTACACCCGTTTTTTCTTTTCTTTTCTTTGTTTTTTTAAACAGATTGGTCTGGTGAGTCCATACTTGCAGTTTTTACTCTCAGTGACCTTAGAATTGCAGTATTGTTGCTCTCCCACAGAATGTAGAAAGGTAGCTGCACTTAGCATTTAATTAATAACTGCTTGGGGCGTTAACAAAATGGCTGCCGAGTAATGGGACTCACTAATATGAACTTTGCCTGGAGTCAGTGAATAAAATAAAAATAAAATGACCAAAAACTATTAAAAACACTAGCAGGCTAACACTTAATGGAAAAATAAAATGTCACTTAAAGCGTATAGTTGAGGCGAATAAAGTTTTAAGTCCAACCTCATTTACAGCAAAAGTCCAAAAGAAAATGTAATTTAAAATGGACGACAGAAGAGATTAATTAAACAGACACCTACCTGCTGGAGGGCTGGTGCAGCAAGAGGAGAAGAAACCTGCGTTTAAAAGTAAAGTAATGTGACTTTAGAGCAACAGTTCATTAATTATTTAGCAGGAGAGAGAAGAAACTGCACTCACCTCAGTGGAGATAAAAGATATAAAAATAAAAAAAAGAGGTCGGCAGTCTGACATTTCACCGCTGCTGTTGGCGGCAGGTGTTTGAAGTGTCACCGGACTTCCTGGTTGTAGTGTTTACTGTTTCCTTATAAGGAAAGCGGAAGCTACCGTGACCCACCAATCACAGCAGAGCGTGCTTACAGCGAGCACCGGCTCAGAGCTCATCCTCAGCTGCTGTTCTTTATGATACCTGTCGCCATGGTTTGTTAGATACTTTAATGATCAAAGAGGAAGAGTCCTGTGTAATTACGGTAAACGTGCGCACTTGATGCACTGCAATGATGTAGTATGGGCGTTTTAAAATACTAATTTTAATTTTAGGAAACATAAAAATCATTTTCACCAACAGGAAAAACATTATCGACTTCAATCAGACTTTTACTAGCAGCAGAAAAAAGAAAAAAAAATAAGAAAAAAAAAATATGATATATGATGGAGCTCAGTACAAATGATCAGGGTTTATAAGAAATCAACCATAAAACTGTGACCTTGGGCCGAGGTGTAGAAAAGTACAGATTGTGATTTTGGTCCTAAAGGAAAAGTTATTAGGCCAAATTTTGAATTGTTTTTTTGTTTGTTTGTTGTTGTTTTTTGTTTTTTTAATATTTTGTGCTCAACCATCTCTGATTAGCCTGAACTTTTTATAGCAAAAAAATGTGAATATTTGAAAAGATAGATGTGAACTTTTAGCTTGATATATATGGAATACCTTTTGGAGATAATGTTTCATAACACAAATACTCTCTGATTATGAGCTCCATGGACAGTTGTTGCTTTCAGGCAACAGCTTGTAAAAAGTTTACACATCTGACTGGACTGCCATCGACATAGTGATCGCTTTAAATTTACATAGTTCACTTGAGTAAAGTAGGCATTAAGAAGTCAAGTAGGGATAACAGTTAAAAATCTCATATATGATGACATTACTTTGACACATTTCAATACGTTGGTGTTACAGTTACTGGCAAACAATACGTTAAATTAAGGAATGTGCAAATATAAAATATAACATGTATCTATGAAAACAGTGGGGACGCTTATTCTTTTAAAGATAGCATATTTGGTATAATGGGAATTATAAAAACAGTAGTGTGGCTGCATTTATGCACATCTGGATGTTGCACATTGCTGAGCAAGTATGAAACAGTTTGGCTTCAGTAGAGCCTTCATTACACACATTGATGTTTTGCTACCTTTGTCCTTGAGTTTTCAGTCTTTAGCTCCTTCTATTCATTTTTGGTTTCTTTTTCCTCCTTTGTCAGGTTTTCATTCAGCTTCTTTCTGTCCTCCTCAGATCCCTTTTTATCTTTGAGCTTCTCACTCTCCTCTTTTATCTCTTTCACATGCTCCTGTAGTTCATTTATGTTCTCCTGCGGTTTCTATTTTCCTTTAAGAGTCATCCAGATCTTTTTAAGGAGTCAATCTTTCTGTGAGAAGCCCGGTGATGCACCTCTGGTGCAATTATTGTAAAGAATAAATTACAATCAAACTATTAAAGAATTAATTTCCCGTTCACATATATAAATGCAGTTCATTTCGTCCACCCTGACAGTGTCATGTATCTGTCAAACATTTCTGTCTCAGGTACCTTAGTCCTGATTTCATTTCATTTTTTCCTCACAATTTAAGTGTTAATACATTTTCTTATAACATGATACAATCAAAGAAAAAATCCCACTTTGTTTCATCCTGCTGTGTTTCCAGTTAACATGTCGTCTGCTCTTCCATCGATAGTCTCCACGGCTGGTCCTCTTTAATGCAGTTTGCATTGAGGCCGTTCCAGGCAGCACATCTCTGTGTTTAAATATATCTTCTTTTTTTTTGCTAAGCTGCGGGTACATTGTGTTTTTAGCTGCAACATACTCTGTTCTGTACAACTCCTCAGCGGAGCCACAGCAGACACATTAATGAGAAACACGGCAGGTTGAATCACGCTTTCAGATATTGTTTTGAATCTGTGTTGTTTTAATGTGACATGCAGCTACATGTGGTTCAGAACACATCACTAGTTGTCTTCTGTAGTATCATTTTGGTGTTTATGTGTTTTCAAAGATGGGACTTTTTATGACTGCTTCCAGTTTTGTTCATATTTCAACCCATCTGTAATTAAAGATTATTAGATGTACTTGTCTAATATGGCAGATTCTAAACGGTATGTGGGGAAAAAACAGTAAAAAATTTCAGGTCTTTATCTTCAATAGATCTCAAATTCAAATATGGCCTCAAATTTATATATATCAAGAAAATATCTAGTAAAGTATTTGATAAATAAATCTAAAATTACACAGAAGCCATTTTAAATATCCATAGTTTATGATGAACATGTGTTTAGCCAATCAGAGCTGGTGGAGCAGAAGGCCCCTGGTGGTTCATCTCCCCCCGTCTCATGATCAGAACAGACCTGTGGGCTTCCAGCTGGTTTGCTGGAGCCTCGGTTTAACACAAACCCACTTCCGTCCCACAGAGAGTCGCCCTTGTGTGTTTCTTCAGGTTGTTTGGGAGCACCGGTACAAAGCTGGAAGAATCATCCAGCAATCACAGATGCAGGGCTGCTGATTTCTACCTGAGCGTCTCTGCTGGGAGGAAAGAATTTGAACCCACAAGCACACGATGGCTGCTACACACTGCAGCCTCCACTCTTCTTCCTCCTTGTGCCCTGAATCAACCTCCACTCCTGTGGACCATCTGTCTGGCTCGCTACTGACTACGAGACGTGTCTTTTCCTCTTCTGCTCGGCTGCTCAGGCTCAGTCCGAAGCTCTTCTCAGCTTCCTGTGCGTCTTTTCTCTTCGACCTCAAACTGCTTTCCTTCATTCAACGACTCAGACTTTCAATTCAAACCCCAGAGGACACTAAAAGGCCTTCTCCCTGCTGCAGCCCCCATCCCTTTTTCCTCCATCCCTCCGAGGATTTTATTGCAAGATATGAAACAACAGATGGCTGCTGTGTTCATATATATGCTTCTCATGTGCTTCCTTTATGGTCCATGAAGAAGAAGTCAGCGAACAGACGAGAGAAACAGACTTTGAAAGGCAGAATGTATAAGTAAGAAGTCTTCCACTGGCAGGTTGAGCCAATATACGAGCTTCCAGTGTGTCGATTTGAATAACTTTGCTTCATTTGGTCAGGTTTAATCAATAGGATGTGAGGATTAGACGATAAAACCGGCTGATCCAGTTGTGCTCTAAGTGTGTCCTCAAGGTGCAGAGCGGGAATTTTATTCACACCCAAATCCAGGAGATTTAGGTTTGAATAAAAAGCCTCTGACACCATAAAAAATACAACCTGGAGAGAAGTATGAGATTTGATCAACGCTGGTAACCTGCACCTCAAGCTGCTGGTTTTGTGATCTTGCCCATGTGGGGCAGTTAAAACGTGCTCTGAGCTCGTAGTGCTCACGTCAGTGAAGGAAGCTGAGATTCAGAAAGAGCAGCAAAATCTGTAACAACAAGTGTGTCAGAACATCACAAAGGTCTCACAAAAATAATTTGCAAATTATTTGCTGTTAATTAAAACTGTTTGGGCCGCGTTGGTCTGGGCATCATTCATGTTGAGAAATTAAGAAATGAGTTTGCAAAAACCAAACCAAAACCATTGGAGCATCTTTTGAGTTTGGTTTTCTCAATCATCATTTGGAAACAAAAACGAACAGACTGCATTATGTTGTTAATGGTTTGAAATTTAAAAAAAAACAAAAAACAAAAAAAGCAACTTCTGTTTTTGGTCTGCAAACAAAAAACAAACAGAAGAATTGCCAAAACTGAAAATGGACCATTTTGATAGCTTTCTTTTTCTTTTCTTTCTTTTTTTAAATCTCTTGCCTAAATTGTTTTCTCCATTTTTGGTTTTGAAACAAAAAAAACCCAAAAACATGTTTTTTCAGTTTTTAGATTTCATATTACAGATTATCCAGTGACATCCAGACTGATGTGCTTTTACTCTTCAACATATACGGCTCCCTTTATAAACCTCACACTACAGTCCTTTGCATTAACAATGAATCCTCTTCATGACTTAATTCTTGACATCACATGAAAAACAAACTTCTATTCAATCCAGTGTCAGTGCAGTGGGAACATGCTTCCTCTGAAGAACATGAATCTTTATGTGAGTCCTTGTCTGCAGGTATTGGACTGGAAAAATGAACAAGTTTATCACCTGAGGATCAGAGAAAAGTCGGCATTCCTCCTCCTCTGGGCGTCAGGATATTGACCAACATGACAGCAAACAAAGACGAATAAAGCCAATAAAGCGTCTGTGGTATGGTTTAAACTGTGGTCTTTTATTAGCTGTCCACAAAAGCATGTCATGGAACAACAGAACCTGTAGCACGAGTGTAACATTCCTTGTTGTTGTTATACTCCACCACATCCCTGCTCCTCACACCATGTATAATTTATATTTCATATATATATATTTTGTACAATATACATGTTCTCATCAAAGGAAAAAAAACAAAAAAAAAAGAAAGAATAGCAAAAAAGTTCATCCCCCCGTGGATTGTAAATCTAGTGAACATCCCATGCATGTTTCCACTGCGTCTAGGAGAAATGTTGTTTATTACCAGGAACACGTACGCAGGCAAATAAATGCTCAGACAAATAAAGGGAGACACTTGTTAGCAACGAAGCTGGTGCACAGGGCACATTCTCAACAACATTAAACAAGAAGAGCCATGCGGAACCGACGCTTACTCTACGGCTTTGACCCAGTTTGGAGTCCAAAGCGCCAGTACAGGGGTAAAGTTAGTCTTTTTCGCTAATGACTAATAAAAACAGATCAGCTTGAAGTCTTTTGGCTGATGCTCATGTTTGAATGTTAAAACCATACTGAGCTGCAGTTGGATCACAACGACGGTGAACGTGTGGGAGGCTACAGTAACACCGGCACACAAAGTGCTTGACATCATCATGAACCTTTTCACCTCTGCGGAGACAAAATCTTGAAGTTACGGTTCACATTTAGGAAGCAAGTTTCCAGTCAAATGTGATGAGTCAGAGTGAAGCCAAATATGCAAATGTGTGTTAACAACAGAAGGAATCAGCTCCTGTAGAGCGTTCAGGGTGAAATCGACGGCGTGGCAGGCGTAAGAAATATGCTTTTAGTGAAACACATGTCAAAGAAAACACACCATGGGTCACAAAAACCGAAAAAATAATATATTCAGCCTTTTTTTTTTTCAGTCATTCTTTTGTCTGTGTCACATTTATACTGTAGCTCTGAGGCGTATTACTCTTTGCACCACTCAGAATAATACAATCTAATGGAAATATTGCTTAATTTCATCCTTTTAAAGCATCTTTTTATATAATCTTTTTCACTTTTGTAAAACAAAATAGCTGCGGAATGTAAAATAAAATATATAGTGCTATGTATGTAGGTAAGAAAATAAAGTTGTAGGATAATATCTATATTCCATTTTCTGTAACTATTTACAGAACTTAAAACCAGTTCGTATATGCCTATATGTTTCTCTTCAAATGACTTGTTGGGCCCAAAACTAGTATTTAAATAATTTCGAGTGTGCTACAATATTTAAAGTCATAATATTTGTCTTTTCTCTGAAGGACAGTTTGGATGAATGAAGAAACAACAATCACGATGTATGAGGAGACGTTTGCATTGTTCAGTAGGAAGCTTCTTCTTTTGGTTTCTTTGCACATTTTGTAAATAGTCAGCTGTTGTTGCATCGTTACATTCATGAAATATACCGCGTTGGTGTGATTTCCTCCAGAGGAGAAGGGTCATCAGACAGTCAGCGGGGTTTTAATAAAATACTCTTGAACTGAGTGAGGTTTTCACTCTTTGTGAGCGAGCGTGCATCATTTAAACAGCAGGACCGACAGCTGAGGGCTGCTGCTGAATGTCAGGTGTCTGGTTTAGCATTTAGGTCCTCGTAGAATCGAGAGGCGGCCGTTTAATGCACAGCAATCATGTGCAACAACAGTTAAATCACTTCACACCGTCAGCACTGAGTTCACATCTGCTATTGTCAGGCAACAAACTCACAACAAAATAACAGAAAAAGACGAATCAAATCCTTCAATCCAAACACCTGAGACAATACCAGCTCATACAGCGCCACACGTTCTGCGCCTTTTGTTGTTACTCATAAAAGCTTATTGTCATTTTATTTTCTTCTACTTAACATTTCTGAACACACATTATTTGTTTCCTTTCAGGGATGTTTTACTGACTCACTGTCTCAGGTGTGAGATTTGGTTCCTTGTATTTTTGCTTTAGTATGACAATGTGCGACTTTAGATGCTCAGTTTGAATGAAGTTGTGACGTGTAAAAAGCTGCTGCAGGAGTTTTCAGCTGCCGTCGCTCTGAACAAACAGCAGAATGAGATGGATTTGAAAAGATTCAAAGAATTTGGGACGAAAAAAATAAACACAAAATTGAACCAGAATCCTAAAGTGAATTAACTTAAATTAAAGCATTACAATTCGACGACGCTGACTGAAATGCACCCTGGGAGTCGTAGTTATCATCTTCCTCAGAGTTTTATCTGCACAGGTTTGTTATCTGACTTTCTATGAACTGATGACGTTCAACCAGGACAGTTTCAGGCTTTTCCAAACTGTACATCTGCTGCCAAGTTTACATCAAATTTCTTCTTAAAATTTCGCAAATTAATATGCATTTAACCTAAATACAGATATTAGCATTTGTTACCTTTCTACTCCTACGTCACTAAAAAGAAGCAGAAGACGAGGAAGCAACTTGATCCTGTAATTAAAGCTGCCAGTCAAACTTTACATGATGGAAAACGATGAATGATGATTAGGAATTCATTTAAGGAGCCTAACGCCCTTCTCACTGTTTTATGTACTTCACTATGAATGTGTTCATTCTTTTTCAGTTATTTTTTGTCAAATTTGATATTTACTGGATATATACTATATTATTAACCTACTTTTCCACCTCAGCCAACTGTAAAAACTTTATATTTAGCTTTATATTTTCTGAATTAAAAAAAAAAAAAGTTTTTATTTTCATGCACAGATTGAACATTCACTTAAAACGTAACATTAACTGCTATGACGTGAGTCAGTCAAACATTAGCCTGGATTCCATCACTAATTTGTATGTGGTTCAGAAGAATCTCCTTAGAATAAGTTATTAGGAACAACAAAATTCAAAGAAACGTTCCTGTTTTCACCAAAAAAAAAGTTTAACATTTGTGAGTTGTTTTTTTTTTTGAAAGCATTAATGCACATAAAAGAGGGGATGGAAAACCCGTTTTCGTAGAAGTTCTGACACAGTGAACATTTAACTCACATGACTTAACAGCTGTTTCCCACTTCTTTCATTGCCTTCACCTCTGGACATCACAAGACATGAAACAAATCCAAAACCAGATAACATGAAAGAATAACTTCCTTAAACTGAAAACAACTGCAGAGGACTTCTGAAGATAACAAAGTTTTGTTTGTTTCTTTTTCCTGTGCGACTAGAAAACTGGTTTTATTTCTGACTTCTTCTACTCTGTGTGTTATGTCTAGTGTCGCCTCTATCGCCACCTTCTGGAGACACTATGCAGCAGAGTTTATTTACTCGACAGCAGTTAATGGAAACAAGTCCATGTTGATAATTCTGTCTGCAGCACATGCAGCAGAGCACATAGCACAGCTGAGCAGATGGTGGTGAGGAGTCTAGTTTGCTTTCACAGCAAGTTACCAACTAGTTTGTGAAATACATTTCTGAAGTTAATAAACAATAACTCCATCGATACTCTAATAATAACAAAAGCATCCAAAGAAAATCAGTAAATATACCAATGTCAGAATATTTACTCTCTAAAAATCAGTATCTGCAGCAGTCTCAAAAATCCAGTATCGGTTAGCTTAGCTTAGCTTAGCAGTAGAGTTAATTGAGGCCATAAAGCAGCATCGCTTCTCCTGAGCTGGGATGTTTGTTGACAAGTCAGTTTAAACTCCACACTGAGACTGGATCAAATCAGAAATTAGATACACATTTTAACCCCAGGTGTAAAACCCATGAATCAGATGATGTATCCAGATACAGATGGCAGGTGTAAATGTGGTCATTGTGTCTCGAGTAAACTCAGTGCCGACACTGTGCAGGAATTTAACTTTGCTTTCACAGAATTCATGTGGAGATGAACCCTAAAACACAAAAGTGACTTTTTAGTCATTTAGTGATCTACCCTGATAGCACGGAATGTGTCAGAAAGAACAAAATCATTTAGAGGGAAAACCACTTTGATCAGACTGGAACAATGGACACCCCAATCAGCCCTACAGATCTACACAGAGAAGCACGCCTAAAGCAAAACAGAGGAGTCATACGGACAGATCAAACATGCAACTTTGCATAAACAAGACATACAGCAGGGAGCAACATTCAATGAGACTGGTGTCGTCAGCCAAGCGAGTGTGGGAGAATACTGTACATCAGTTTACAAAAAGGAACGACCAGCACGATGACTTTCAGAACGTATTTACAACTTTACTTTAGATATCTTTAAAGAGAAAGTCCCTGCCAAGTGAAGCCCGTCTCCATGTCCCGCTCGATCCGTTTTACAGTGGATAGAAAGTTTAATAAGCAGCGTTTTTTCCCCCCTAACTTCCCCCTGCGAAAGTGGTCCATGAAGTAAGCTCTGCATAAAAAGCAATATGAGGGCAGCTCAGTTGAGGAGGTGTCATGCAAAAAATAGTATCCGTGGACTTATCACAAGTTAATTTCCCAGTTGGACATCCACATTTCAAGCATAAGTCAGCATTGATCTCACTGAGTGGGCCGTCTTTCGTTGAATCAGCGCTGGCTGCAGCGTCGGCCACGTTGGAAGTTCCTGTGATCGGTTTGGCCTCTGCACACAGTCGATAAAACACAGTGAAACGTATCCAACATAGAAGTGACAGGATGAGATGTAGATAAGTTCAAATAAGTCCACCTAAAAGTCCGCCTGCTGGCATTGCTACTAATGACTTTTATTGGTTGTATAGGATATAGGATTATATTCATATTTTGGCATGTGTCAGACTTTATGCTGCAATGGCGTCCATTTCCATAAAGTGTTATTTGTAAACCAACGTCTCGTTTCAGAGATGATGACGGAGCTGCATTTATTGATTCTACTCTACCTCTCAGAGTGAAAAACGTATGTATTCCATGCATGTATCCTATATGAAATACAATAGAAAGTTTCATAATCACGGTTAGATCTAAAGTGATACTGTTGGGTTGAGGCAGTTCTGTTTTTTTTTATTTAGTTTTTCTTACTGTATGAGGGGTGGTGAGGTGACCGATGGGAGCCATGAGGACAAGAGTTCAAGCCTCTGACAAGACGAGAAAGTTCCCTCTCTGACTTTGTCAACATTAACCCTCAGCGAGTCGCAACAAGCAGAATTAAAGGGAATTCCTGACACAGAAACGTCCGGCAGCTCCTCTTCAGCAGCGGGGCCGGGACAGGTGGAGCACATTGTCTACACGGGCGGGACACTGGATGCTAAAGGTGGTGTTACATGGACGCTGTGGCTGGAATCGGAGGGCTCCGGAGACGACGACGTCACACCACGGAGCCCTTGGAGGTGGACAGGTGGATGGAGTGGATGCGGGTGGCCAGGGTCTTCTCCAGGTCGTGGAGGATGTCGGTGCAGATGCCGGGGCTGGACGCGGGGCTCTCGGCGGGGGGAGGTTCGTACAGAAGCTGCTTGAAGGTGTCGAATTCGATCAGCAGCACCATGTTCTTCAGGAAATAGCCCTCGATGAAAGCCGTCAGCTCTGCGGCACCAAGGAACTGCGCGGGAAATACAAGATGCAAAGACGAAGGCAGAGATTCAGAGATTCAGTGTATGTTTATGACGACATGTAGGTCAAAACTGATGCAGGGTTGAGCTGTTGATAAAAACTTAGATCAACATCAAGATTTGACCATTTCTTAGACTGTACAGCCATGCTAGCAGCTCTGTGAGGATGTTTTAAGGCAGGGGTCTCGAACTCCGGTCCTCGAGGGCCGCAATCCTGCATGTTTTAGATGTTTCCCTCTTCCAACACACCTGATTCAAATGATCAGGATCGGAAGGAAACATCTAAAACTTGCAGGATTGCGGCCCTCGAGGACTGGAGTTTGAGACCCCTGTTTTAAGGCATAGGTTTGCGTTAGCTAAATGCTAATCTCAACATGCTAACACACTGAGATTAAGCAGACATAATGATCACTGTAGTTAGCATGCTAACATTAGCACTAAACACAACGTACAATCGGTCATAAACCAAAGTACTGGATACATTTTGATGTCATGATGATGCTAAATGATTCATCAATCCAGCAGCTTATGAGTCATCTCAGTCTAGACCAACCAACAGTGTCGCATTTTCATTCCTATAAACCTGAAAACCAGATGAATGTGAGAGCTCATGTGGCCTCAGGCACAATGTGTCTCCCATTCAAACACGTTCCCACACAGCGACAACCCAGCTGGGCAAATCACAGCGTTTATCTAAAATGGGGTGAGTTTAATACGATGACTGTACAAAGGAACACCACTGAGGCTCTTTTCAGCGCTGCGCTACGTGTTTGGTTGCAGGTCTGTCCAATTTCATGTGCAGCCATTTTGGTCTCTGTCCTTTGACAACTCCCATTGGAAATCAAACTTTAACTTTTTTCTATCGATGCCAGACTTCAGCGATGCTGGCGTGGCCAAAAATGTGCAAGGCTCCAGGACTTATGTGACTACAAGCAGCCAGAGGCCTCCTGAGCGTGCTGTTGTGAAAGCATAACAGAAATCATGTTTTAGTGGCCACCTCTCATCTAAACAACTTCTGCATTTCCTTGGGTCGCCTGCAGTATAACTTGGCTCACTGTAAAATCAGAGTAGAATTTAATATCGGTCTAAAAAGCCCATCGTGTCTTAAAGACTTCATAGTTCTGCATTATCCCAATGGAGCACTTTGCTGTCAGAGGTCTGGCTTATTTGTGGTAATGTTCTTTTGGTGTTTTTCCAAAAATACCTCAGATCAAGCTAAAGTACTTAACTCAAGATTTTCAAACTGAAGATTTGGCTTAAAACTTTTCTTTTTCCATGAATCTTACAGTTGGGATTGGCTCAGCTGGCAGTAAATCAGCCCTTAGTTATGCTGCTACAGGCCTACACTGCTGGGAGACTTCCCATGATGCACTGAGCACCTCTCCTTCACTCTCCATACATTTATGTACGACTATCGCGTGCCACTAACTTTGTGTCTTTAGTTTGTCTTTTGTCCTCTCTGCAGGTATCTCTGGAGCTGCATGTTTCTGACCTGCAGGTTCTGGCCTCACCAGCCTCCTCATGCGTTGTTTGTTTCTCACTGCTATCCTTTTCTCTCTCCCCTTTAGCTCCTTTTATTTCTTCCCGCTGTGGTCAAAGAGCTGCTCAAATGAAATCCTTGAACTTGTTGGGTGTCTCTCTGTACCACACTGTATGTAGGGTCTTTATCTTACTCTGTGGAGTGTCTTGAGATGACTTGTGCTGTGAACTGATGCTGTATAAATCCAATTTAATTTCTCACTGGTCACCTCTCTGTAATGTACTTTAATAAACTGAACATGTCGGTAAACAGAGGCTTGTTTACACATCCGACAGACTGAGAGCAACATTAGCATAAGATGAACTTAAGTTTTGTTTTCCTGTTTGGGTCTATATAAACGTCAGATGCAAATGTCTGTCTCTTTAGAAGCTAAATGCCTCACAATGTCTCCAAGATGCTTGTTGTTTGTTCCTGGGTCAGTAGAGAACATCAGGATTTCAGAAGACCTACTATTCACTGAAAATTAAAGTCAATGAGAGTGAATCCGAACAATGAATTTGGCCGTAGAACCAAAAACAACAAGCTAAAAGACGCTAAAACGTTGTGCAGAGCTGGGTGACAACCACCACCACTTGTTCTTATAAAATACTGATCACAGCAGCTTAAGGTGAAAACAGACAGCTTGCTTCTTTTATTGCTTGTCTGCAGCAGCTAATTAATGCTGTGTTTGTACCTTATGTAAGAATTCATTACATAAGCATTTTTTTGGGTATATATCTGACCCGTTTACAACTTCTACAAATAACTAGCATCGTTCCCAGCTGCAGGAGTCTCACCTTGGCGTGTTTGTAGAGGTCCACGCAGGTCTCGGTGGTGATGTTCTTGGAGCAGATGATCTCACAGTGTCTCTGAAGGGCCTCTAGTTGGAAGAATTTGGCTGCAGACAGGAGCTGCAGGGAACAGTACAGCCCCACAGAATGAGGCACAGGACTTGGGATTAGAAATGCTAATACTGGCGCTGTCGCTCAGCAGGCTTTGGTTAAGTCGCACTTACCTCCATTACTTCGGTGTTGCGTATGTGCAGGGACTCGGTGCCTCCACAGTACAGATACTGCATGACCAGCTGTAACACACAACAGCACAGTTAAAGGACAACAGAGGAGGAACCCTGTCGCCGGTTGCTCCTAATAACGCTGTTTCTTAAAGTGCGCATGGAGTTTTCCCTTAACAGAATCAAATATCTGACTTCACTTGACAATTACAGCTGAGACTTAAAGTACAAGTTTAAGTAAAGAACATCTATCTTAAAAAATACAAACCAAAGAACAAGTCTGACCAATATAAAGGTATATCTGATCTGTATCAGTGTTGTCAGGTGGTCTCCCTGTATATTTGTACATAGTTTTAATTTAATTTTTTAATAATCAACAAATCCCACTGAGTACCTTCCAACTTCCCTACACTGTCTGTGGTGCTCAGCACTGAGAATATTTGTTCCAAAAGAAGATGTAAAGTACGAGGTGTGCCAGAAAAGTTCCATGACTGGTCTCACAAAATACATATTTCAAATCCAAACTACAAACTACAAGCTTTCTCCTTCAAAGTAGTCCCCCTGGAGTCTAACACACTTCCTCAGCCTTCTCTGCCACACCGCCATGCACTCCTGGAAGGATTCTTCAGGGATCCTCTGCAGCTCCATCGTCACAGCCATCTTGATGTCATCCATGTCTTCAAAACAGGTCCCCTTGATGACCCCCTTGAGCTTGGGGAAGAGGAAACAATCCCACAGAGCCAGGTGGGGTGAGTAGGGAGGTTGCTCCAGCACGGAGATGTTCTTCTCAGCCAGGAACTGTGGGATGCTCAGGGCATTGTGAGCAGGCACGTTGTCATGGTGAAGCAGCCACAACTTGTCCTGCCACAACTCTCACCTCTTCCTGAACGAAGCAAACGCTGCAGGATCTCTTTATAGACATGCTGGTTGATCATCTGAAAACTGGTAGTTTGGGTTTGAAATATATCTTCTGCAACACCAGTCCTGGAACTTTTCTGACACATCTCGTATAAAAACTGGGTCTCAAATGTGTTTTTTCATTAGTTTGGAAAAATCAAAACAGCTGGATTCTTGTGCTTGTTGGGAAATATTTTTTGACTATTGCACATCTGAGTATATCACACTGCTGGACAGTCTATGCTGGACTGAAATTAGCCAGTGTGTGTTGTCATGCTAATGAAGAACATGTCAGTGAGGGCAACAGTGTGGCTCACTGTTGTGTCTTTAAGAGTGTTCAGACAACAATAGAGCTCTATGGCACCGAGGAATCGGACCCAGTATGTCAGGCTGTGACTTGTTAGTAGAATACATTAGTCTTTGGTTTCGGGTCTGCTCACAACAATTCTTCATGACACGAATTCAAGGAATGATTATCAAACTTTTGTTATGTTTATTGTTTATGAACCTGATATTGGCTGATGTGTTTATCTGTCACTGTATCAATAATCCATTAAAAAAAATGCAAAGTCAGTCGGTTTTGTTGAAAATTAAACGTCAGTGGAAAGTAAAACATAGTCCAGTGAAGTTCTTACGTGAAAAATATTGTATTTGACATGGCTGATCTCAATGCAGGTGTTTTCTGCTGCTGGTCGGTTTTGGAGCAGCGACTTGAACCTGGATGGAACACAAGAAATCATATCAATTAAAATTTAAAATAATACCGCTGTATTGTACGCTGCTCTTTTATTAAATAGCATAAAATAAATGCCATTATGAGAGCAAACTTTTTTCCTTTACCTGGGAGAAGCTGTAAACAGCAAAACTTTGTGTGCATAAAACGGTTTCCCCTCCACCAGGAAGGTAACGTCAGACATCTCCTTGTTGTTCAGAAAATGGGGGTCTGGAAAAAAAACAATTAAAAAGACGCATCATACTCTACTCTCCTAAACTCGGCACGCAGAACAGCAAACAGCAGAAGATTAAGGTAATGTGGTCATTAATTACTCTGCAGCCAATTCATCACTCAGCTATCAGCGCTGAATTATCAAAACACAGCAGCTCGGCTTTCATTACTGTTCTGAAGAGCAGCTGATTTGAATTTGATATCCGCTACTTTAAGCCCTCTCTTAAAGTGCATCCTGATAAATTAATTAGTTTTTTAAAGCACATACACACGATAACAAGCGTTTGTGATTTTCTTGGAACCCTGAAGAAACAGTAGGTGGTGCTGCAGTACAGTCACTGAAGGCTTCACGGCTGCCTTATGCTTCAATAAAGGAAACGTCTGCAAATACATGGATACATGCATGTGCCTGGAAATATGCCAGCATCATATTTATCCAATATGTGTTACCAACTCTGAGGGTAAAATGGTAGATACAGTTTTGACATTTCATTCAACTGCATGTGTTCTGTTGAAAGTGGCCATAAATCCTCATAGTTTGCAGGGTTGTGTATAAACAACAATAATAACTCCTTTAATATGAATAAACTCTAGATTGGAGGAAAGGGTTTAACTGATAACTCTTCCCACTGCCACAAACTTCACTTAAACATTTGACAGAATGGACAAAATACTTAAATGTCTGTTGTTAATCCACTAAGTAAGTAAATTATTTATGTTTTCTACATTATGTGGAACCAACATGTGTTCCTTCTGTTTGACATAAAGTCATTTACAGACAAAGAAATGTTCATTAGGGAAAAAAAAAACCCTGATACAGAAACAATATGGAACTTTCTGTGCCGGACTTCTGAAGTGTCCTCAGTTCAAACTAACTGATAAAACTAAAGGAAACAATGTGCAGAATAAGTTAGCATATTATAATTAACAAGTGCAGCATATTTATTGTTTTATTTGGACCCTTGACTCTTCAGTGCCACACTAAATTCTTACATTTTAATAGCACAATAATTTGCTGTCTTCTTATCTTATTTTAATTATGTAATCTGAAAGAAAAGGCTTAAATAAAACATTCACTCACAAAATATTCAGACTACTCTCCCGTTATGCAAAACCAGGCTTTCTCCAGAGGTCACCGAGTTGAATTTCAGACTTTTTAAGACCTTTAGTATAGCACATAGCATCTCGACAGCCTGCTACCAGAACTTTTTAAAAAATATATATATATATATACTGCCAACAGCTGGTAAGAGAAAATAGAAAAAAGAATAAAAGATTTTTGTCAGTGAAATTTAAGAATTCTAAAAAATGGCAACTGAATGGAATGTAAAGACGTTTTGAGATAGTCTGCAGATACCCTGAAAGAGAAAAAAACACTCTCCCATGCCTTTGTAGTTTCCATACAGTCTCCTAGTGGCTTGATTTGATGCTCTTCAGGATAGTTCCTCCAAAAAGTGTTGCTCTTCCAACTAAAACTTAACAGTCAAAACTCCTCTGCAGTCCTCAACCTAACCTCTAAAACCTAACCTCTAAGTTACACATTTTAAAGTTTTTTCCTTGAAAGCAACCTCCTTTTAAAATGACTAAAATATAAATCTACACGTCTAGAATGTGCAGATCTACAAAGTCTCTGCCTCTCTCTTCCAACTCGGTGCAGCCCAAGCACACCGGCTCACCTACAACTCTGCTCAAACACTGTGAAAATACTCTTTGCTGTTCTCACGGCCACAGATGGTGAAGCCGGATACTGATTCTGAAGATACAAACAGCTCCACCCTGCAAGTTGGCAGGTTGGTTGCTGATGTTATGAAAATCCAGAAGTCTGAATCCATGTTCTTGAGATGGTGTTATAATACACTACACTGCATTTTCACGGTGGAAATGGCCAGCAATGGTGCTGACTGCTTATTTCGCTCATGATATCTCTTATAGCACATTAAAAAAAACCCCACCTAAGGTCCTGTTAACAAGGTAAACTTGGTTTTCACCAGAGTGGGTCTTTAATATTTCTCAAATGTCATGAACAAATCATCTTGGCAAATCAACTGCAGTAATATTGCTGTAATCTTTTTTTCATTATGAGCTTGAAGCAACAATCTGACATTTGATCTTCATATATTTGCCTTTCAGTCAGTTTGAAGCACAAAAGGTAGCAATTGCTAAAAAGAATTTAACCTACAATCCATTCAGAAAACCCTCAAATGTCACAAAGAAAAGAACAAGACTGGCTGACAAGTGATCTCTGACCTCATGACAACCTCTTCCTCAGAAAAAAAAACAAAGATCTCCAGGTTTCTACTTCAGCGCTGTCACTCGGCTTCATGCAGAAAGAAAATGTTAAGCAGTCACTATTTTTAACCGCCTTCTTACCCAAGCGTGAGGTCTGTTTCTTCTTGATCTCCGTCAGCTTAGGGATGGGGAAGGGCCCGTAGCACTGCGTGAAAATGACTGACAGGTGCTGGCTTATCACCTCATTCTGCAAACAGACGCCAACAGCAGTGAGGACAGAAACTTTATACACAGTGGAGTTTTGTGGCCTCTGTTTTCGGCAATCTGGGACAAAATCTTATGCAAATGTATGATAATACGGTTTGGAGTGCAGCTAAATATATGCAAATATGAGTGTTAATGTCACCCTAGCACAAGAGCACAGGACAATTTGTATTCCCAGAAAAGCAGCCTTACTTTGTCTGATGTTTCACTAACAAGCATTTTGTTTACATGCGCATGAAAGAAAGCCCTGGTGACCTTGCTGGATCGGAGGATCTGGAACATGAGTGGCAGTCCGTGCGTGATCAGCTCCTCTGTGTACTCGTCCTCCTGGATGCAGCTGAAGTCTTTGAGCAGGCCCTGGATCAGCGGGCGGCGGTGCTGGATGAAGCAGGTACGCAGGGACTCGAGCCAGGTGTGCAGCGTCCAGGGAACGCCTGGGAACACCAACACATCCACCGTGAATACACACTTGAGCAGAAACAAGCCGGTCGGAGCGCGGGCAGCTTCAAGGGCAACAGAACCGACCATGTTTCCATCACTTCATGGCGTTAAGCGAGTTTGAAGGGCGACTGCGTGGCGAGTGTCGGATTAGTGGAAAGTCAGAGGGAATAGAAAAGCAGCACCTGAATGTAGTTAAAGAATGTCCCGTTAAAAAATGTTTTGCAGTGACATGATGGACATGAAATAAGCAGAAATCACAGCATGACAGGGGAGGCTGTGTGTATCATTCACTGTTAATCACTAAAACGATTCACCCTCCAAATATTCACTTGATTGAGCTTCTTAGATTTAAGGATTTGCAGCTTTTGTAGGTTTTATGTCACTGCTAAGTGTTTATCTTTGTTTTTTATACTGTTGATTGGACAAAATCAGCACATTTGACACTTTGATGGGAATTTCTCCCAATTTTCTGTCATTTCGCTGATTAAAAATGCAGCAAAAAAACTGTGATTCTTGAGCTTGAAAACAGTCGCTGACCAAATAATCTCACCACAAGATCAGTTTGGTAGCTGGTCTGGATCTGTCGGTCATATCAAATCAACTTCAGTTTGAACATACAGCATGTTTGGAAACAACCTGAGGGCTGGACACGTTATGAGACAGGAAACAGCAAAAGTACGTGCAGAAATACGCAACACAGAGAACCTCTAAATGCTAACAAGACAAAACAGGATGACAACTTGTAAGCGCAAATTCTAAAACAGCAAGACCACTAAGAGCAACCAGACGACACTGAAAACATGTACATCTTGAGATTTTTTATGTCAGTGGAGGAGGAACGTCTGATTGAAAGAGACAAGCTATCAGAGTGTGTTTTTTGTGTGAAGTTGCAGTTGTTTTGTCAAATGTGGTTTCCAGTGTCGAGAATGAGTCGGACAAGAATTCAAGAAATAGGCGCACTCACTTGTAGCTCAGAATAAAGACTAGAAGCAGGAGTAAACAGTTTGTCCACAGCAGTACAAACTGTCCACCAGCATCTCTGAAGCTCACTAATTAACAGGTCATAACTCATGTGGAAACCACAGCGTGTAGTTTAACACTTTTAGCACTGATTAAACAAATGAGATTAAATGTGTTAATTAGTGAGCTTTAGATGTGCTGGTAGTTGGACTGTTTTTAAACCTTTGGACGGAGCCAGAGCGGCTGCTTCCAGTCTTTGTGATGGTCGCTTCATATTTACTGTTCAGATATAAAAGTGTTATGATCCAACACTGAACAAGGAAGCACATAAAAATATTTGCTACAATGTCAAACTATTGCTTTCTCTCTAACAGCTCCAGAACAGTTGCTAAATGGGCCTGATGGTGAGATTGTTTTGCCAGCTAAAATCAATGAATGCTCATAAAATCCTAATCAACAGCCACATTAGGCCTCGTGCTCAATGAGCTGGACTGTGTGGAGGTGAAAGCTGATGACTGCCACACTTACAAAATGAGCACTGCCTGAGGACACAGTTTCATCATCATGTTCACACCTTTTTGGCCCAAGCTATTATCGCCTCTGATATAAAAAGTCCTACTTGTGGGATTGTTTGATGAGTAGCTGTGATTGCGTACAGGACAGCACAGGACTGGACAGGACGGGACAGGACAGGCACAGCATGAGCACATCTCCAGGACAGCTGGAGGCACCAGAGAGCCAGGCATGTGCGCCAGTGAAGCATGTATTAGTAAATCTGACCTAAGCTGCGGATGTCTATGGTGATGTCCACATGGCCGTGCTCTGCGCTATGGTACATGGCCTCTCTCAGGGCCCTCAGTTTGGCCTTTCCTGTTCGCAGCGTCCCTCCGCCGTTGGGATGAGGAGCCAACCTCTTCTCCCCTGGTTCCGAACCCTCAGCCAGGATTTCCTCCAGGGACAGAACATCCCCCTTTTCTTTGTCCGACTGGGACAGGAGCTTCCGAAATACATTCCTAGAGGGGAGACAGGTAGACGAGAGTTACCCTCTGAACCACAAAACTCACCAGTATGACACCATTGTCAACTTTCTAGCTAATTCTCATCTTTAAATTATGATATTTAATTAAAATCACCATATTCTGCACGTTCTGAATGGTTTGCACTAGAGTCTGCAAAAAAAAACACAAAAGAAATTCTGCACTCGAGAAGCTGTTACTCAGCTACGACCGACAGTAAGTTGACAAAAATTTTGGGACTGCAGGCTTTGTTTACACAGAGCGAGAGGAGAAAAGAATGGAAACAAGTTTGAATGACTGAGAAGGAAATAAAATGTACTTATGCTACAAAATAAAAGCAGCATGGCTCAAAAACAGTGGAGCGAGTTGTCAGTAAGTTGTTGGAAGATACATTCAGCATGGTGAAACATCTTTCTAGAGCTGATGTGCAGAGTAATGGGAAAACACAGAGATTGTAGAGGGTATAAAAAAGTAAATAGTAAAATACCTATTCTAAGTAGCAGCCATTACCTGTTTTCAATAATGACAACATTTCTGGCCACTTTCTGTGCAAATTCCAGGTTTTTTCTTTTGTAAAATAAGTAATCCAAACAGTTCAAGTTCTTCCTTTTTTTATAATTCATCGCATCATAACTGTATCATACGGCACAAAAGACATCCTTGAGCTCGTTCTCCTTCTAGTCATGGTTGTGCTGGTTCCACAGAGGTGCAGGACTTTACATTGCAGTGAGAAATGAGGCCGCAATGAGTAAAAATGTGACAGGAGCAAAAAAAAAAAACGCCCATTAACTATTCTGGGCTCAGAGGTTGAAACAAAAGCAGAGTGATAAGATAAGAGTGACAGATTGTTTAAAGTCAAGGCAAGAGGTTAAAAGGGAGGAAAGCTGTAGGACCAAATTGTAAAACACCTAGCACGGCCTGGGGTCAAATAGTAGGAAGGAAAGCTTTGAAGTGGATGATCACACACCAGAAAGTGATTCTAAATCGAGCCCACACAAACTGCATTAAATCCACATTAAACACATTCAGCTCTCTGGCTCTGATGACACTCAAAATATTCTAATGTACCTAATTAAGCACAAATGACACGGCGTGCTCCGGACCTGTATCGCTGGTGTGCACAGTCATGATGAATGAAGCGACTGAAGCGAGGCGATTACGCCGAAAAAAGATGTCGCAAAATCTCCAAATTCATTAGCACCGCATCAACACCGCAACACACTGTTTCGGCAACACAGTGATGCAGCGGTAACAGACGCCGTCCTTTGAGGAGAATGGACCTCAGCACATAACATATAGAGTGTGATCACAGCCCTGATAAAGCATCACTGCACCATCTGCTTCAGTGTGGACGGGCTCATTTAAAGTCCGAGTGCAACCAAACATCATATCCTGTCGGGGAGATTGTTTGATCACTGATGACACGTCGGTGGGAGGCTCGCAGCCGTCACTTTGAAGCTGTTCAGAAAATGTTGTTTGATTGAACCACTAACAGTCTACTTGGGCTTCGGTGTACATCTGTGCGTGAGCAGAATCTCACACTATGTTCTTGTGGTGGTTAAAAGTACGTGGACACCTGAACTTATTGTTGTACATTATCTCATTTTTAAAACATAAGCAACAACCCCCCCGCAGTAACGGCCTCCAGCCCTCTGGTTTCAGGTTTTTTGTATGATTTTGGAGCCGGGCTGCAGGGATTTGCTCCCGTTCAGCATTAGTAGTCTGTAACTGATGCTGGGGGATAAGGTCTGGCTCGCAGCTGGCACTTCAATTCATTCCAGAGGTGTTGGATGGGGTGGAGGTCAGGGCTCTGTGCAGGCAAGTAAAGTTCTTCCGCATCAATTTGCGAAAACCACTTTTTTGGGGACGTGACTTCGTGCACAGGAGGACTGTCGTGTTGCTGAAGGAGAGGGTTTACCTCAAACCACCGCCACAGAGTTCACCATCTTAACTTGAACATTTCCTTCAGGTGAAACTAAAGTAAACCTGTAGGTGTCCACATACACGAATAGTTCAAGGAAATGTACCTATCTGCTCCGGGACATACTGAGCCTAGTTAAGGACAGAAGAAACAAACAGTCCAGCACAACGCTCAACAAATCCAAACTATCACACCTCTACATGGTGTAACTGCATCTAAAAATGTGCAAATGAAAAAGAACACATTGTGGTTCAACCATAGACTGTATAAAAGATGGACGTAGCAACCGGCCCTGAAAAATGAAGCCAACCCGGAAGTGTCAAAAACCTGCAATATCACTACGTCCACTAGCTGCTGGCTCCAAAAAGCCCTGGCTCCCATAGACTTGAATTGGAAAAGAAGTGATCACAGATCAAGAAATACCGCATCCCTACAGCTCAGGATTTGTTTCTTATTAGTTTTCATAGTCACATCCAGAGATCAGGTGGCCAATCTGAAAATAAATCAATACTGAATTTTTAAAAAGTCGTCAAAATGGCGTGGCTGGCTTGATTGACAGTCGGCAGCAACGATGCAGAGGAAGCGAGCAGAAGGCGGTAAATGTGGGCGGGCAGAGAGGGCCCGCCTCTCAATCCGTCTGACCAATCGCTGCTCCTATGGCTCCGCCCCCCTCCGACGATTTTTGCGTTACTGACTCCAAAAATCCAAGATGTCAACCAGGAAGTAGCAAAACCCTGGCTTCATTTTCTCAGTGCAGAAACCAACGGGTGACGTCATGGTAGCTACGTCCATCTTTTATACAGTTTATGGGTTCAACGTGCAGCTTGTCGTCCTCCCAGAACCTGGTTCTGCTGGAGGTCTTGCTCAAAGGGAATCACTAGATTCATTGGGTTTCTCTCTTTGATATTGTTGGGTGTTAATCCTAATATTTAAATATGTCTGGTACAGTTCTAATTAGGGTCTGAGCACTACAGTGCGTACGACCCTATTGGAACTGCTAGGTCATTATTTCTTCGTCACAAAAAAACGCGTTTTTCAGGTGCTAAACGTACTCAAAAACTCACAAAATTTGGCACACACATCAGACCGAGTGAAAAATTTTATAGTTAGGGGGAAATACACACCTCAATTGAAAAATGGCTCCACAGCGCCACCTAGAAAATTTCAACAGAGTCCCAGAGTTGCTAATACACGGAAATGACTTTTTGACAGCTTTAGAATGCTCATAAACTCACCAAAATCGACATACGAGTCACTATCGGCTCAACCACAGATAATGTGTGCCTGTTTGCCAAAATGACTCTACAGCGCCCCCTGCAGCAATTTATCTATTAGCCTCCGCAGGACATTTAACCGATGTTTCCAAAATTTGTTAGGCATATGTAACACATCAGGATGCACAAAAAAGCCTCTTGGACCCATACCGTAAACTCAACAGAAAGTCCGCCATTTTGAAACAAGCGTGCAATTTTTTGTGATTTTTGCCATTTTCAAAATCTATCTCCTCCAAGGGGTTAACTCCTATACACCTCAAATTTGGTCAGCGCATACAACAGGGCTTGGTGATCAAAAGTTATCAAAACGCTCCGCAAAAGTCTGAGGGCGTGGCCGTGGCGGCCCTCTGAATTGTCAATTGACATTTTTTTCCCTGGAAATTTAATGAATCATCCGGCACTGTCCTGGACAAACACCCTCAACCCCACACACATTTATTTCCATCCCTCTGACCTGCGCTGGGCCTCCAACTTACTCTGTGTTCATGCTGCCGGACCGAATGAAGCAGCAGGAAGGTATCCACCTTCCACTGGCGTTAAGAGCTGCAGTGGCCATTCAACGCAGCACGCCTTATTTTATGGTGGTTTTCACATCACAAGTCATTTGCTAAATTGCAGCATGTGAATGTTCAATCAGAAGCAATCAGTTGAAACATTTCCACAAATAACATATTAAAGTCCAAGAATTACGTGAAAAGAGAAGCAAAGATCCTTTTGTGCACACTCCAGAAGGTAATACCTATGCTTACTTGAATCACATTAGTGTACTTTACTGATTTCTCATTGTCCTTTTCATTTACCTCATGGACTGTGAGTATGTCGTCATTTTTCCTTCAAGAGTTATAAAACTAAGTACACTTGAGTAAACTGGACTTGAAACGTTCTGTTCCTGGACTGAACACAGAGCTCAGCAGTGCACATGTAGAGACGTACAGGAGAAGTTTCCAGAAACTTTACGTGGCGGCTGTGGCTCAGGCGGGTCAGTCAATGATCGGAAGGTTGGCGGTTCGATTCCGCCCTGTAACCTGTGTCATGGTGGTTGTATACTTGGGCCACAAGTGCTCCGATCTGCCTCAAAGTCGACACGCTGGATCAGAGTCCCACCTGGAGCCCGTTTGCTCCACACCCCGATGTGCGCGATGCCGACAAGCGTAGGGCGAGGACCCATCAAATGCCGCTTGTGGCTTTAATCTTTTCTTTATTCTTTATTGGAAAGTGCTTCAGTGTCTTTCTGTTGTAAATGTGCTATAAAAATAACTTCTCTNCCTCTCAATCCGTCTGACCAATCGCTGCTCCTATGGCTCCGCCCCCCTCCGACGATTTTTGCGTTACTGACTCCAAAAATCCAAGATGTCAACCAGGAAGTAGTATTTTGAAACAAGTGCGCAATTTTTTTGTGATTTTTGCCATTTTCAAAATCTATCTCCTCCAAGGGGTTACCTCCTATACACCTCAAATTTGGTCAGCACATACAACAGGGTTTGGTGATCAAAAGTTATCAAAACGCTCCGCAAAAGTCTGAGGGTGTGGCCGTGGTGGTCCTCTGAATTGTCAATTGACATTTTTTTCCCTGGAAATGTAATGAATCATCCGGCACTGTCCTGGACAAACACCCTCAACCCCACACATATTTATTTCCATCCCTCTGACATGCGCCGGGCCTCCAACTTACTCTGTGTTCATGCTGCCGGACCGAATGAAGCAGCAGGAAGGTATCCACCTTCCACTGGCGTTAAGAGCCGCGGTGGCCATACAACGCAGCACGCCTTAGTTTTTGGTGGTTTTCAAATCACAAGTCATTTGCTAAATTGCAGCATGTGAATGTTCAATCAGAAGCAATCAGTTGAAACATTTCCAGAAATAACATATTGAAGGCCAAGAATCCCGTGAAAAGAGAAGCAAAGATCCTTTTGTGCACACTCTAAAAGGCAATACCTATTCTTACTTGAATCACATTTGTGTACTTTACTGATTTCTCATTGTCCTGTTCATCTACCTCATGGACTGTGAGTATGTAGTCATTTTTCCTTAAAGAGTTATAAAACTAAGTACACTTGAGTAAACTTGAGAAACGTTCTGTTCCTGGACTGAACACAGAGCTCAGCAGTGCACATGTAGAGACGTACAGGAGAAGTTTCCAGAAACGAGGCGGCTGTGGCTCAGGCGGGTCGGTCAATGATCGGAAGGTTGGCGGTTCGATTAGGCCCTGTAACCCTGTATCCTTGTGCCACAAGTGCTCAGATCTGCCTCAAAGTCGACACGCTGGATCAGAGTCCCACCTGGAGCCCGTTTGCGCCACACCCCGATGTGCGCAATGCCGACAAGCGTAGGGCGAGGACCCATCAAATGCCGCTTGCGGCTTTAATGTTCTCTTTATATCTCTATCTCTGCTTCAGTGTCTTTCTGTTGTAAATGTGCTATAAAAATAACTTCTCTTGATGTGAAGCTTGTACAAGACCAATCGTAGCATCTTTGAAGTTTTGCTTGACCTACAAATTCTCATCAAAACTTAGGTGATTCTCAGATATTTTTGTGACCAGCCAGGAAGCTAACCAGACACAACACGCACTAAAAATAAGACAGGGGCTGCCGGAAGATGTATTTTTTTCAATTTGGAGCTGAGATAGCTATTTCCCTCCAATTCTGGTCATTGTGAGAAGCTGTTACTGAAACGGAACTATATCATATTATTTTTGTGCCGCTCTTGGTGAGACAACAGCGATATTTTTCAGAATTTGGTCTTCATTTCCTTACTTCAGGGATGTAGGTGTCTAGATGTGTCTCTTATATAAAGCGGACACAGTACATAATGCCAACAGTTACCCAGTACCGTACAAAGATTTAAGGAGGTCTGCATGTCTCCTGATTTATATGCAAACTTTCTGTGCTGGTAAATGAGAACTCCGACTCCCCCACATCTCACAACCAATTCTAATTCAGTTTGAACGTGCTCACGACACACTGCAGCATGACCATCACACTATAATTGATTGTCCTAATAATGCTGCATTGTGTTGTTGGCTTTTTCACTCCACTCCATTTCCTGACAGCTCTCCACTGCCCTGAATGTTAATGGGCTTTATCTTACTCAGCTGCAGGGAAATTATGTCAAACTGAAGCCGTAAGTGCGGCTGAATAGACTGCGGCGCTTATCGTGGCCCGCTGTCCGACAGGGAAACTGAGATATCTGCCTCTTATGTGCCGTGGGATTTTGTGAGAGGCAGATGGACCAGGACAGAGTGTGTAAATGGATCAATACTGTGGTAATGGATATATCTTTGCTGGCTGGCACTTGTGTGTGTGTGTGTGTGTGTGTGTGTGTGTGTGTGTGATTGCTTGTATCACCTGTGGCCGTGTGCTGCTGCCAGGCTGTACGAGTTCATGTCTCCCAGCGGGGCGGAGGAGATGCCGTTTCGACACATGGTCCCGATCATGGGGTCGGCCCCTCTTTCCAAAAGCAAACTCACCAGCTCAAAGTTACCTAATGAGGAGCACAGATGCAACGGAAGAATAAAGGGTGAGCACACTCAAACGTAGCACCCTTTCGTGCCGCTCTGTACCGAAGCTCTGCTGCATTTCACAGGGAAATTCTTTGTTCATTTGCCAGGTTGAGATTTTAGATGCACTAAGATGAAGTAAACCGCTTTACATGGCAGAATAACTCAAATTATCTCGACCAGCTGCAACATTAATGCTGATTATACGTTAATGCATCGATAATAAGAAACTTGTTATATATGCAGCAACTTGGAAAGTGGTGATTGTGCATAAAGAGTACTTTTTTAAGCTATACTAAGTCTAAATTGTTAAATACACATCTGCACTGTTATTTCTTTTTTCACAGCAAAATCACTAATAACCCTAAAAAAAAAAAAAACTCAGCAATACATGACAACATCAGTGTCAAAACCACACTGCACATAAGCAAAGCAACCAGTTTGCATCTGTTGTGATGATTGCTTCGTCATTCAGGTCATTTTTACAAGCAAGTATGTCACGTCTTCTTTAATATGTTCATGTTTCACCACTATCTATGCTGGCTCTAAAGCTTTTGAGGCAAACGGAGGCTCTTTAGGTGTCATTTTTAAGTGGAGTTCAAGCATTCAACAACAAACATAAATAGTAGCTGTGAATGAAATCAAGTGTCTGCAGCAGTGAAATCTGCTCTGTCGTAGATAAAACGAGGAGCCGTCACTCGAACAGAAACCACCACTGTAAACACGTCATTATCGACAGTTCGCTGAATACGACGAGCTCTTTGGCGATACAATCAACACGGTGCTCCGGTTAAATTGAATCGGGACGTAACCTGTATTCCTGCACGCTCGCATTTCTTATCTGAGCTTTTATGTCCCAGTAAAAGTTAATGTGACAGCAAAGTGAAACAGGCAGGAGTCTCAACGTAGCACTAAATGAATCTTTAAAAAAAAGTCTCTTGCTCGTTGCTATTCATTAACAATAACAGCTTCGGGACTGTGCTCTTTATTTCATCTGCATTATTTATTTTTTAATGAGTAGGATGTTAATAATGTTCATCATCTGTGGCTGTGTGTTTTATTCACTGGTTGCCATGGTAGCATGGCTGCCAGGTAGCTCACTGAAGCCCTCCATATTTCAACTTATCAACTCACACTAGGGTTAATTAGAGGGTTGTCACGTACCGTTGTTATTGTACATAGAAAGTCAACCACTGGGCAAATATATATTTATGTACTGAAAGGAACTGTTTGATTTTTTAAAAAATCTAATCATTTGTTTTAATGATAATGAGAGATATCTATTTCTCAGTTTAATGTGTCTCGAGATAGCAGCCAGGCTCAGCATAACATTGGAAAGAGGTGCAAGCTTGGTGCAGACCAAAGGTAACAAGCCTTTAAAGACCACCTCTGGTGAAAATCAAGTTGTTTTTTTACCTTTATTACCTTTGCCCATGTCGTGTCTTTTATATGACAGACGAGACTTCATGAACCACATAAGCAGCCATTTAACAGCAGATCCATCTTAAAACAGCGTACAGTGTACCAATGACTGGGGTTTCACATGTCACAAACCAAAAGAAACCAATCCTGTCAGCGTGCTCGGTGGGATTTTCTGTATCATTATTCTTTATCACAATCAGTTTAAAGTTGGAATATATTATTGGTTGAAGCAGTTCAGTGTTACAACTTGCCATTATGAAGCATAGAGTGTTTAAGATATTAGTGAGCTTTAAAGTTCACTGATTGCATCTTGATTATTTTATGGCGTGCATTTACACAAATGAGCTGCATATACATGAACGCGTTGCATAAACAGAAATGTGCTGCAAAAAGAAAATGCTGCAAATATGAAAACGCACCGTAAAAAGGAAAGCGTGTGAGCTTTTCACCTGAGAGGCAGACAAGGGTGAGCGAGACAAGTAACGTCAGTTGAAGCAAAAGCTGTATGAAAAGGTATGTGTTCTCTCGTCTCCATGGATAAACATAAATAACACGAAGATGGTAGTACAACACCACCTCAGCACCCATGTGATCACAGTGAGTGAAAGGCTAAAGACTTAAAAACTGCCCCTAGAGGCCTGTGGTACTTTGTTGTGTGACTGGATATGCAGCGTTTTCTTTGTGCATTTGGTTTCATTTATGCAGCGTGTCACTATATGCACTATGTTTTCCTTTTGCAGCGCGTTTCTGTTTATGCACCTCATTTGCCCTGTTGGCCACCGTAATGATGGATCTCGAGGAGAGCAGTTTGCAATAAAAGCTATGAGTGTGGATGTACAGGTGCATCCTCACTGTATCCTCACCACATGTAAAAGAGGCATAACACACAGCTGAAATATACAAAACATGTCAAGAGCAGGACTCATGAAAGAGTGTATATAATGTATATCACTCAGTCATAGTAATATATTTAACTACTTATTTGTATTGTACTTTTCTGTGTGTCACACCTCTTGTGTACTTCATAAAACCATTCAGCATTGTGGAGAAAAGTCCGGCTACATGAGATTAATCACATCAAAACTCTGCTAATTTTTACAGAAATTAAACAAATTATATATAACATGGTTTGAGGTGCTGGTTGGCAGATTTTCTTACCTTTACACGGAGCCAGTGTAGCTGTTTACAGTGTTTATGCTAAGCTAACAGCTGTTCAAGAAGTCCAAACGATTCATTTAATGCACATGTCGGTCCTGCTTTGATCCATGTTCCCGGTCAGTTTAAAGCTCATGTTGATTGAATAAAAATACCTGCTGCAGGTTCTTCTATGCAGCAACACAGTCATGAGAAGCAGCATTTAAAATTCACTGCATTTTCAAAACCCAGATAGTAATTGAAAGTGATAAAGTAATGAGATGATTATAGCAGAGTGAGAACGCCTTGTGGTGCGCTTAGAGTCAAGATGTCACGACTAATCCCTCATACGCTGTACCAGGATAAAGCGGGGTCACATATTCACATCCGAAACACAAAAGGAAAGGTGAACCCACGTCCTCGCTGCTCCGTTGTGGTTACCTGCAGCAGCGGCCAGCTGAAGCGGGGTCTCTGTGTAGTTCTCCGCCCCATCCTGCAGGGCGCCCTCCACATTCGCTCTATTATCCAGCAACAACTGTGGCAGAGATGGGAGGCGGAGGGGGAGGGAGGGAGGTAGGGAGGTAGGGAGGGGGAAACAAACCAGAAGGGAGAGTACGGAGGAAGAAAACAGGCGAGGGGGAGATGGGGTGTTACAGTCAGGCTTGGCAAGAGGAAAAGCCTCAACTGCTGGAAGCCTAAACGACCTCATTTGGAGGCTGTCCGAGCTCTGGACACTAACCACACTGCTAGCTACGCTTCCTCATTAGCTTCTGTCTGGGGGTCTTATTGTTGGTGCTGAGCTGAGGAGAAGGAATCTCTCCTCCTATGTCCAAAACTCTGATTGCGGTGATACAAATTAATAATTGAAATAAATCCTGAAGGCGACGGTACTCATCAGACTTCCATCCAGTGTCAGCTCATACAGTAGCTACTGCAATACAATGTATTACGTTTTAAAAATGAATAGAACTGAACAAAACACTGGAATCTGGCACCCTGCGGCTCCATATCAGGCTGGCTGAGCTCTGCTCTCTTTAGCCCTCCTCTGGCAGTTCCTCACTACTGCTGTAGGACAAATCTTTACATTCATTTGGGGTAAAGACCAGGGGGCTGGGTCACACATCTACACATCCTATGAGCATACATCATTAAAAACAAACTGGAGAGTTTGCCTCGACCAAGCCCATAACAGATAACTACTGCACAGATAGGACCAAGGAGGAGAAATAAATAGGACATCTGGCATCATTGTTCTCATGATGCACCATAATAATAATCATCATCATCATTATTATCCTCATTTTGGCACAAAGGACAGGGCAAGGGCCACAGGTTAATGGTTACAGGTCATAAACGTCACTACCTGCACGACAGGGACGTGTCCGTGTAACACGGCGAAAGTGAGTGGCGTCCCCTGGCGCGTTTCAGGATAAACTGAGGGGTGCTTGTTTACTGTGCTTGGCACCTGGGAAGTCATAGGTGAAGTTCAGGGAGAGAGATATATATACAGCCATTAACATTCACAGCTCAGGGCAGGAGATGGGGGGAGGGAGGAGGAGTGAGAAGCAGTATGCAGGAGAAGTATAAGCAAAAGAGGGTAAGATGGCAGAGGGAGATTTTCCTCTTGAGTTTCACAGAAAATCTTTAGCAGCTTCAATCCAACCTCTCAATCGTCACTCTAAACGTGAGGCCAGTTAGTGTGCATCTGCCTGGACGAGGCTGTCTGACCACACAGTGTTGTGTCTGCCTAGCTCCACCTTTTAGTCGTGTTTCATTTCAAAAGGGGAATGAAACCAGAGAGAAAACGCAACATTGGCAACGACTACAAACACTGACAAGATGAGTGGTGCTGACTCATCAACAAAGCAGTGGCGGAATAAAATTAAAAAGCCCGATGTTGTTGTGTGATTTCTAAAGCGGCTTTATTACCCAGCAAATTATAGAAATGGTTTTCAGAATGTCGCCTGGAGGACGAACCGATGTTTTATACAATGTCACATTGTATTTGAGCTCTGATGCTAAACAACAGTGTTTTTGTGTTTACAAGGTTGAATTATTAATTGTTTCATAAAAACAGAACGTTTCAGCAAACACAGAAAATCACTGACTGCAATATGGATCATCATGTTTTATATAGTACAACATTACACTTCAGTTAAAGGCTTAGTTCACCCAGTTTACAAATAAAAGACACATTTTGTACTTTGTCTTTGGTGTATTTAACCATGCAGATAGATTTGGTCCTATAAGGTTTAAGACGGAGTTGCAGCTTCAATATAGAAAAACAGGAATAACATGAAAACACTTAAAGGGGTTTTTAACCTGAACTGTTTCCAAAAAAACTTCCCCATATAGACCTGTGCAGTCAGAGGATTATCCAGGTCAGTGTTTTCCAACTTTTCTAGCTCATGACACTTTTAAATGTCATGACTTTTCATCAAAGGTTATGGCTAAAATCTGCTATAAATGCTGTCAAGAGAGCATGCATGTCTCCTCCAAAATGTAACCGGCGGCTATAGAGAAAGCACTTTCAGACTCCAACAACTTGGTCTGGTCAGATCAAGCTGCTTTCTCCGACACACAACCAGTGAAGACGTCTCCACTGCCGTGACCACGAGCCGCCACAGTCAGTGAAAGAATGTAGAAACGGCAGGAATGTTGAAATCAGTAACGAAACAAGGCAAACTATGCTAAGCTGTCAGCGATGTTAAATGAAGGAATTTAAACCCAATTAGTGTGAGGAATAAAATCAAAGAACCATACTGTCTAATTAGTGCTGCTGTCGTAGGACTGTGACAGAAATATGATAATGAGCTATAAGTCACAACTTACACATACGTCTCAGTGAATGCACTGTTGTTAACACCAAACATAAATCAAGTAGATGTGGGTTTTGAGGAGATAAACAAACAAACAAAAAATATATAATTTTTCTACTCCAGCTGTTTGTTTTGAACGTCTTTGTAGATGATATTCATGGTAATCTCATGTACTCCAGTAGGACGCAACTGGAATTCTTAGAAAGGGTTCACATTCACGAACCTAAAAGAAGAGCAGCTTTGCTTTGAATGACTTTTAGTGGCCTGAAAAGGTAAAAGCAATCCACACTTCACTCGAAAAAATAAGAGAAAATCTAAAAAAAAAAAGAAACTTTTTGACAGAAATACTTTTTTAATCTTTCTTATTACTAGTATTCATCTTGTTGAGGTTTATATTGTTTTTAGAAAAAGTCATTCCTTTGCCGGAAACATACAATATTCTACTCAGCAGCAGTGTTTTGGTGCGACAGCTGCAGTCACAGACAGATGAAGCATCTTAAAATGTCTGCACATAAAACTATCTGCATGGCGAGGCTCCAGTAGAAGCGCATGAGATTTATTCTTATTTAAATTTGGGTTAATGAAGCCTTTAAGCATTTATTATACCACAAACTCCTACAGGTAATGCTCTGCTATTGAGTCAGCACCGCGCTAAACACAGGCACTTAACCAATGAAGCAATCACAACAATAAACCATGAGGTCACTATGAAGGAGGAAAGTCCTTTAACTTTTCCTTTTTTGTAACTGAAAACTAAGATTAAAGCACAGAGAACACAGTGCAGAGACAAAAAGCAGGATTCATAATAGCACAGCCTCACTGCTACTTTAAGTGTTCTTATTTCAACACGACAAATAAATGCAATGAGGTTCATGCTTCATGTACAGTCTGCGGTAGCAAGTTACACTAAGTGCACATACTTGTACAACGGTAATGAATTATTGATGCGGTGTAAAGCAAACCGCTGCTGGATGTCTGCAGTGTAAAATGTAATGAAGTGAGTGCCTGCGCTCAGGGACTATCAGTGGATTATTATTCTGTATCAGTGTAAAGACAAACCGTCATTGTTCCCGTGCAAATGATATTCATTTATTGCTTATCAGTGCACTTTGTGTAATGAGCTGCCGGGGGAACAGAGAGCATGCCGAGAGCAGGTGAGACAATGACGATAGAGAGGGGAGGGGAAAGAGCAACACAAAGTGGGTTCATCGTTTTCACTGGTACACAGCAAACAAATGTGAATGAGCATATTAAACCAGAACAAAAATGTGGAATTCATTGTGCGTTTGACAAGCTGACGGTCAACACTGACCTCGCTGTTGATGTCGGCTCCGGCGTCCAGCAGCATCTGCACCATGGCCTCGTCGCCGCGGACACAGGCGTACATGAGGGGGGTCATTCCCTGCAGCAGAGAGGGAGGAAGGAGGGAAGAAGTGTTTCTATGTAGCACTTAAATTGGGAGGTAAGGTGGTAAGAAAACTGCTTTCATTCTGGAAACACACCAAAAGAAGAAAATTGCACAGTATATTTAGCTGCTGTTGGAACCCTGTGAACTCCAAAATCTGCTGACAGGTTCGTAAGGTCTGTTTTTAAAAAAAAATCGCCAAAATGAAACCATTTACAGAAACTGTAAAAACAGAAAGAATAGTTGGATTTTCAGCGACGCGACCGTGCATGACCTACATGTGTAGTTCTGTCAGGGAGAGTCTGAGCTTCAAATTGTGATATTTCATTGAGACCACTTTATTCAACACGTCCTATTCAAAATTCACAAAAAATAAACCATTAGCACCAGATTCTGTAAAAGACTGAGCTTTACTGTGCGACTGAGAAGCTGTGATTGACACACCTGTGACTAAAAAAACTTCACGGAGCATTTGGCAGGTTGTGTTGTAAATAAGTACTGACACAAATTAGAGCGATTAAGAGCAAAACAAAAAAAACCCTGATCAATAGAATAAATGCAACATGGTTCAAAAATGGAGGAGCAAGTTGTTGGAAGATACATTCTGCATGGTGAAATATCATGTTAGAGCTGATGTGCAAAGTAGTATGAGAGGTTATAAAAGTGTAAATATATCTGTAGTATGTGGAGCCACCATTTTACATACATACTTATTTGAAGTTTTTCCAATTTTGGTGCAGTAGATAAAGAAGTTTTTTCTGTTTCTTCTATGAATTATGGCATTATAACTTTGTAATACTACACATGAGACATCTTTGAGTTCTCACTGCTTCTAGCCATGGTTGGGTTGTGTAGAGCGGAAGGACTTTATATTGCAGTAATAAAAATGAGTCCACAGTGAGTATAAACGTAACACAAAACGGCCAGAAATTACCAGGGGTTCAGAGAATTAACTGAAGTTCATTAGCATTTACTGTAGTTGCATAAGTTCACTGTGTGAGTCGCTACAGGGATTAAACTCTTACAGCCACCACTCATCAAGGAGTTTTCATCAGTTTGGCAAATTCACATGGAAAAACTTCTAACAGAAGAACTGTGAGGCCAAAATACATGTATGAGACTTTCCTTAAAAGGTAACATCTTCTAGTTTTTTGGGGGTTTTTTTAAGTACTTGTTTAGGAACTGAGGAGAATTAAATCAAGCTTACATGCTAATGTGTATAGCATGTTTATGATTTAAAAAATTTAAAAACAGAGCTAAACATTTATACCTTTATATGCAACATGAAGACACTTTTAATTTGCTTAAACATTTCACCAGTGACCCCCTGGCTCTTAGGTGGTTAATTCATCATCATTTCTGTGTTTTCATCTGATTCTAACGACTTTTTAAAGCATTTAGGTCAACCATTTATGTATGGACTATAAAAAACGGACTCACTAAACAATGGTAGAATAGTTTTGTTCCAACTGTGCAACTTGCTATTGCCTAAATAAGCCAGCAATTTCTTATGTGAATGTAAAAATATTTTATCTATCTTATTTTCATTATATTTTAATCCATATCAAGAACTTGCAAGTACCAAGTTATCTCCATACCATTGCTTTTTGTAAGCTACCTTCTGATCTTGTAATCAGACTGGGTACAGGCAGCAAATAAAACCAAATGAAATGACATGAATGACAACAGTGGCAGTCATATATAATGTAATCAGGGACTGATTGGATCATTCATTACCCGGTCAGTTTGCTGTAATACATCATAGACCACAGACCATGACATGAAAATAAGTGTTGAGAATTATTAATTATAAACCGAACAAACACTGAAATGATCAAAGAAATATGATATTTATCTTACATTACATACAAGGCATGGCTTTGATTATCAAGGGTGCTCTAACAGGCTTTTTCCATGGTCATGAACAAATTACTTGATTGGAGTGCACTTTAGTGATTTGGTTCTCGCCATTCAGTCAGTCTACTTGCCTGTCAGAGGTCAGCGCTTCCAACAAACATACATGAAAGTGTGAAGAGAGACTCTTTTGTGCCATCTCGTTACCATACCATGAAAAATGTGTATTTCACAGCTATCAACAAAGCCCTTACAGGATAATTCCAGGTTATTTCAACCTGCTGCTGTTCACACTAGTGTGACTACTTGTGGCTATGTGCGTCATGCTGATGTAAAGCTCCCATAATGTGCTGCTTAGTTAATGAAAGGCTCACACGAACCCTGAATGCGTCAGCTCACAATACCGTGCCATACATGATTTGCCATGACAGTATAGCTCGTGGTTTTAGTCCTGCTCTAAGCGGGCTGCTACAGCGTTTGTAGCTTAAAATGCAGCTGAGCAGCTGCTGTCTTCCCAAAGAAGACTTTCTCTAATCTGTGATTGACAGAGCGGAGAGGCAGCTGACATGAATGATTGTGTGAGACCAGGACTTTCTATCACTTCCAACTTTCTCTCTAAGCGATCATTTCACGTAGAAAAATCGCTGAATTCACAGCACAGCTGTATACGGGGGGTTTGTCAGACAACACTGCGGTTATAACATCAGTAGTTTAGCAGTGCAGAGCAGCAGCTTGGAATCGGCTCTGAAGTGACTGTTAAATCCTATTGGCCTGCATTTCAGTCTCTAGGGAAAAAGAAATATCTATAAATGAACACAGATTTTTTGGGAAACCAACTGTTTTAAAACAGTATATGTGAGCACAGAGAGCAGGAGAGAAACAAACAGGTGTAAACACACCAGCTGAGTTTAGGTTCCACTGAAACACAAAAGACAATCTGAAAACACACAAATCTGACCAGATCATGTTAATTTATTTTTAAATCAGTCTTAAAGCTTCCATCATCCCTGAATGTCCCTCAGCATGACAGTTTCCACAGAGCTTTGACCTGTGGACATACGATCAAAGCGAGTCGCAACTTTAGCCACATTAGCTGTGTAATGCCGCACTAACATTGGGGATTTTGTGGTGACATTACTTAAAAAACATAAAAATAAAAAAAAAGTTTTAAAATCTACTGAGTCTTTAGTTGTAAGCCCACTACACACTGTGTGATTTTTGTATGTCGAAAGACGAAAGATATAAATCGTAAGAGAATTGTGGCAATATCTTTGCTCTATAAATCGGTGGTCCTACGTTGCACTGAGACAGGTTCAAAGACAGCCATTGTCATGGTCTTGCAACCAAAGGCAACCTGACAGTGTCAGAAATTTGGGGTGATCATCTCACAGTGACTGCTGCGACCTACGTCAGCTAACTGACTAATAGCGGTATGCAATGACGTACTGATCAGCGCGACACTGGCGCTAAACCCAAATAGATGCTTTGCGACTACAATGGCAAAACGCATCAAAAAAATATGTGGGATGTCTTTCTCTTTTTCTGAGCCACAACTGCACCCATATTATCCTCCTTCTCCTTTTTATGGGATTTCTCTCCAAACACATAAATACCACAAGGGTGAGGGCGCTGTTCATGCTTCACTAATTCCTTTCTCATGGATAGATGGAGCACGCTTGTGACGTTTCAGTCACGTCGACTCCCGTACATTGTAGGCTGTGATTCAGCTTACGTTTTCATCGTGCAATCTGCACACAGCAAACTTCATGTTGTGCCCAAAGTTTATTAGATTCACGTTGTACAGTGTAGCTGTGAACTTAAACGATTGTTAAAATCACAGTTTGTAGCCAGTCTTAGTTAATGCATGAAGACTCTCATGGTCACTCTTGCAGCAAACAGCAGAGCAATTGGTGAGATCTGCTCATGGCCGACACAGTTAACAGAAGCAGCTCTAGAAAGTAAATAAACCTGGTGGACTAAGAGGCAGCTGCTCATTCTGAATGGCCCACCTGGAAGCACGAGGCAGTGAGAGAGCAGGATAATACAAAGCGAGGCGACTATCGGTTCTTCAGCTGGAATGTAGCAGCTCAGTAAAACTGTTACTGGCTTGTATCTATCTAGAGGGCTTGAGGGGTGGCAGGAGTAATGTCTTCATATCACAACAGCTTTCATTGTGGCTTGGTGTGCAGTTAACAAAATGTCTGCTCCAGGCAGCTAATTTCTTTGTTTACTTCGAGTCAGACGTGAATATCTACAACAGAGGTTGAGAGCGCAAAGTTAGCGACACTCATTGTGCCACAATAGCCACATTAATGGGAAGTGCATCGAGCGGAAACAAACGGAAAATATCTTTTTACACTTCTGTAAGGAACTCAACAGCTGCAGTGCAACAAAAAAGTCTTTCTGTAATGTTCTTTATAACACTGGGTTTGTGATTTCCATATGTGCATGTTCACCGCTGGTTACTAATCAACCCCATTCCTAAAGGCTGCAGTGAAATATACTCCTCATGAATAGCTTCCAGCTTGGAGGCATATTCATCCTCTGCAATAAGATTCTTCCAGCAGTCGCTTTGCAGCTTCTAATTTCCCAAACATAATCATAACTTTTTCAAAACGGCTGTGTCTTTGCAACATGAGCGACAGCATAGGTGGGCTGTTAAACTCCGAACATTACATCTTATATCTCTGCATAAGCCTTGAGCCTGACAAGCCCACACACAGACATTATACTCCGAACCGTAGGGCGAAGCTCTGGGCGCTATTGTGTCTAAGAGCAAAACAAAAACTTAAGAACTTTATTGTAACGAGGCAGTGAGTTCTTCTTATCATCAGACTTTCTAAAGTGTTTTGGATGAGCTTCCATAAAACAGACTTCAATCATATGTCTGATCTGGGCCATTATGTTCAACAGAGGCCTTTTACGACTCACTCATAACGCACCACAGCACTTTATTCTAAAGACTGATATCCCTTTGTGGTGATTCATTCTTAAACATTTCCTGGACACCGATCTACTTAATCAGCAGACAGCTAAAGGCCGAGAGACGACGGACCCTGATGATCATCGTGATGAGTTCAAATGCCTCTCAGCCGTGATGACAGACTGCAGCTTTTACTTTATTGCTCCTGTAACGCTGTCTGGTCCCCTGATCCATTTAGTCAGTTTTACAAGGAGATAAAAGCCTGCATGTCACCACGGCCTGTTATTTATGTGCGGTGGGAAAAGGAAAAGTGTCAATCAATATAATTTTATCATATTGTGAAGGACCTGTAACAGTCAAACTCTGTTAATGCCTATGGTATGAATCCAGGGACAGCATGAATTGTATTTAGGAGGGTTTCAGAGTATCTGAATGGAGAACTGCCACAGATATCGTTAACGGACTTAACTATCTGCAGCTTTCTGACCACGGAAAATCAGATTGGCCTTTAAGCTTCCACTTAGCAGCACAAGGAATAACCAATATTTCCACTGATGGGGGAAGACGGGGATTCCCAAATGACATTAGCACTTGGATGCAGTAAGACTGAGGTATCGACCCAACCTGTCAGCGCTCAGTCCAGGAAAAGTGTTGCAGCATTAGTAACAACAGATGAGTCCTGTCTTCCCCATATTTTAGATAAACAGCAGGTAGCTAAGCAACTGTGCTTCTCTTTGACAAAAACATCTGTACTCCTCTCAATACTTGGATCCAGACAAAGTTGATTCATATTGCTCACAAAATGTACAAAAGAGCATCAATACTGTGGTGTTTAAACCATGTAACTAAATGGTAAGGTGTTCTGAGAGTCCTAACATGTCGCGGTAGGTGTAGAGTTAAAAGGGTCAGACTTGCTTTTAGCCATATTCAACGATTAACAAAAGGTATTGACAAAAAATCTGAAATGATCTTCTGAGATGGTCCTTCATTTCTGCAGGTAAAGTCACAACAAAGCAGAAGTTGTTGACGAAAATGGGACTGCGACTGAATCTGCGTTTGATTTAAAATATATTTAAAGGGGGCAGAGGAAGTGCAGCACCAGCTCCAGAAGGCTGTTGGCCTCCATCCACGCCTCCCACACCTAATTTGTTAGATCTGGAGGAGGATGAGGGAGAAATGAATAAATTCAATTAGAGCTCAGCCACGCTCTTCTGGGAATGTAAAGTTTTTGCCAAGTGAGGTTTTATTGATATTTTACTCTGTTCGCTAGCATGACCTGGACAAGTGTGGTCTGACCTGATAAGCTAACTGTCCCATACCACATATATCATATACAGTCCTCAGAAATATTTGGTTCCACAGAAAGAAATAAAAGAGAGAGACTGGAACTGAAACACAAGGACACAAGATTAGAAATCGGAAAACTAGTGTTTTTTTGTGTTTGTGTTTTTAAGTCACGCCTGGCGCCAAGATTCAATAAAAAACAAAACCTCACATCAGTCAAGCTTGTTTGCTGCACTGCACAGCTAATCAGGCGAAGCTCTTTGTTGAATAATTGATAATATTGAACCTCTGTGTTTTTTGGCTATTCAATTACCATTTTGCATTATGAAAAGTTATTCAGGATCACCAGAACCGGCTCCTGTTCACACTGGATCCAATCAGTGGATTAGGTTCAATATCAAAGAAAAAGTCCTTCAGTATCAAATGATAATTATGTGGCAAAGGTAAAATAATTAACGAGCTGGTTGACAGAAAAAAAACACCTTTGAATTATATTTGTTTTCAGAAATTTCTGTTGCTTTAATTTTAAGAAACAATAATTTTTTAAGCATCGTTACCACACAATGCTTAATCATTTTGTGATAATAAATGGACTGTGTTTTGGAGTGTTGGTCAGACAAAGAGACAAAGATTGAGACAATAGATTTATAGCTATTCTACACAATAACCAATAATGACAAACATCATCAGCTGTAACCTCATAATGAGAGAAGATGTAAAGCTTCCCTTCATGGACAGAGTGGGCTGATTGTTGCAAGGTGTGCATGGAGTGTGAGTTCTAGCACTAAGCAGAAGGGATGTGTCGTTTGGCCAGGGGAACAAATACTCTGATGCTGCTGATATCTGTGCAGCACAGACGCAGCCAGGCACAAAGAAACCAACACTGTCTTGAAAATAATGTCTTTTTTTTTCTGCTTTCTCTACCAAAACAGACAAATAAAAAATTGTATCATGGCTTAAAAAATTCAGCACACTGCATTACTCATAGGGAGCCGTCTGTGCCCAGCATGTGTGTGAATTGCGATGGGATGCCAGGTAAGACTTGTTAGAAATTCACAATTCATTGTGGATCACTCTCTACTTTGCTGTGTAGGTGTGGGATGTTAATGCTGCATGTGTGTGTAGGAGTGTGTGTTCAGTGCCAGACCTGTTCGCTCATGCTGTTGATGCCATCAGGGCCCAGGAGGTTCACGGCCTGCTTGACCAGGTCCGTCCGGCCGCAGTTGAGCATCCTGAAGCCCAGATCCTGCAGGAACTTGGCCTCTGTGGAGGCTGCATCAAGCTTTCTGGTGGCACAGAAACAATCCTCTGCTCTGCAGATGGAAACAGCAGATCCATTACTGTGATTAAGAGGGAGCTTATCTCTGAAATGGATTTTGAGATCAGTGGATATACATCTCTGCTGCATGCTGAAAGAAACAGAAAATGATTGCTGCTCAGCTTTCACAACGCAAACTCTTGGTATTTTAAATTGAGCAGCAACTTCATAAGTATTGAGCTGTTTGCATTCAAAGTCAGTTCACTAATATCTGAATTTGTCAACACTCACTTTTCTGTGCTTGCTTCTGAGTCCCTACTTTCCTTATATCTGAAAGTAGCTTTTCTTCAGGTGAGGCTTCAGCTGTGACTCATTATGACTCATATTTCCCGTAAAGCGTCTTAATCCGAGCTGTGAGCAGCTGTCACAGCTGAAGCTTCCACTGTGTCACAGAGAATCCTTTTCATGATGTTTGTCTCATTTTAACAATTATACCTGACAAATGTAAGGAGATGCTAATTGGTAACACACACATCTCAGTATTCCATTTATTACTTCCCTGCAAATATTTGTAATGTGAATAGACCATTCACCCACTGACATCATAACAAACAAAGCAAAATGACTGTGTGAATGAGTGTGTGAGCTGCCATAAGACAAACACAGCACACGGCTGTACAACTGTTTGTGAATAAGAGAAAAGAAATGAGACGAGAGAGAGAACAGGTGATACTGTAAGTGAGACAAAAACACAGAGAGAAGATTTATTGGTTACTGCTGTCCATAAAAGAGGGACTAACACACTTCATTTAGTCACTGCCAAGACTCATGAAGGAGTGTTTAAATTAGACAATGTGAGTCTACATTCTCTTTAGCAGCTCAATGAGGCTATACTGAGCTAAATGCCAATGTCAGTCTGCTAACACACTCTCAAAAACAACACTAAGATGCATGACTAGCAGATATTATCATTTTATTTTAGGGTGTTTGTACGCTACCATTTGCTAATATGGACTAAACACAATATACAGCTTAGACTGACAGGAATGTTGTTAGTTTTGTAGGTTTTAAATAAGTAGTTTTGATAAATTAACCTGATCTACCACTAGAAGAAAAGCCAATACATGTGTGGATGGATGTAGCAGTCATCATGACAATTTATCAAATAGCTGTTGGTGCGACAACAGTCAGGAGGGTTCCTCCACAAATGACCACAAATGTCCAAACAACCCACCTATATCCCATCTGTCATGCTACTAGTAATCTAGTCTCAATTCATCACAGCAGAGCAAGCCCAGGTGAATCTAATAACATCGACTCCTTCCATCCATATTCTGCTCCTTATCTGGGTTTGGGTCATGATGGCTGGAGGCTGAGCATGGCATTCCAGATGTCCATCTCTCCATTTTCCAGTTCCACCTGGGAGATCTGTGGCGTTCCCAGACCAGATAAGATATGTAATCCTTCCCTAGCGAGTTCTGGGTCGACCCCGGGGTCTCCTCCCAGTTGGACGTGCCCAGAAAACCTCTAAAGGAAGGCGCTCAGGAGGCATCCTAATCAGATGTGCAAACCGCCTCAGCTGGTTCCTTTCGATGTGAAGGGGAAGCGACTCTATTCCGGGCTCCTCGCTCTATCCTGCAGGCTGAGCCCGGCCACCCTACGGAGGAAACTAATTTCGGCCACTTCTATCCGCAATCTCATCTGCCAAAAGCAGATGAGATCTCACACTGATTACGCTCTTGAAATATGGTATGACGAATTGCTGTTAGTCACTCTTGTGTTTGCCGTGTCAGATCGAGGCAGACCTATTACAACGAGGCCTGCTACCAAACTGATGGAGGGACTGATCTCAGGCTGATTACACACGAGTACATCAAAGACCCAGACCGACCACGACCCACAAAAAAGAACAGTTTATTTATAAAGCTTTATTTATTTTTTTACTGACTTGATTCAGTCTCATCTGCCCTGTTATTATAATGACAGAGGGGATATCTGTTGTTTGTAGCATCCATGTTTGTGTTAGATTTACAGGTTAAACGCTATTTCTTAATGTTCATGTGAGACTCTACTGAACATCTCAATGACTCATAGATTTTATGATGTTGTACTTTATGGTCACACAGCACTTGCAGAAGGAAGCAGGACTCTCACCTTTTGGCTGATTCTCTGTATTTCAAGTGTCGTAACAGATAAAACTACCTCCCAGAGTGACACAGTGAGATTACTTCTGATCCCAGTGCAGCCCTTTTCTAACATGGGATATCTAACATTGCTGGCTTGATTAATCTGTTAAAGTGATGGCATCTAGTCATTCAAACACTGGCCACTCATACGTTCATGTTCCTACCACTCAGATGTACCTACAGTAGTGGCACAGAGAGCCACGGCACAGATGCAATTTTTGTCATATATGAAAAACTGGACAGTAAATCGAGTGATCTGGGATACATTATAATGTTCTAATAAACAAAAGATTGTATCTAAATCTCGGTGTAACAAATCATTTAACGGTAGCTTATAAAGTGTCACTTCGTCTGTGTTAACTCACCAGTCTGACGTATGAAAAATGACACACTGTGAACTGCTATTAGATCCTGATCGATCCTATGTCCATGTCAGGGATAATCTTTAACTAATTAATTGAAGTTTCTGTAGTTGTTTCGCGTCTAACTGTGTAAACTCTCTTACTTTGGAGATGTGGCTATAGATCCTGCTGCTGTCTGATGCTGAAGGTATTTAATAAAGTCAGAAGAAAAACGGCTACAAACAGCTGGAAGTAACAACCTTGTACCTGGTAACGTTTTGTCAAAATCCAGATGACTTTTATGACTGGTGAGACTCAAGCTGTTGAAGTCTGCCTTCATCAGAGCATTGTTTGATTTTTATGAACATAGATGTGAAATTGTAAAGCAAAGTGAACGACTGAAGTGTTTCGTGAACTTGACACTCAAACTGACTTTTGCTCGGGGCTTTTGTTGACCAATACTGGTGCTGCAACATGGAAACACTTTCCCCAAATCGTTTTATACAACTCAAAGCAGCAAACATTACCTGTGCTGTGTTAAAAGTGATATGTAAATGTTACTAGGTCTGACCGAGTAAGAGTAGCATTGCGACTTAATGGAAAAGCGAGCGGGGTGCTCATTCAGACATGAAGCCAATACGTTCAGATACCATTAGATTCAGAGAAAGGTGTGTGACACAGGCTACACTCTTACTTTATTTGTCGCGGTTCACAGTCCACACCCGGCAGCAGCAGCCTGGCAGCCTGCCTCACATCGTCGCTGTCCACAGAGAAGCTTCGTCGATGTTCGGTGTGGGCGACCGCCACCCGGATCCACTCCATCAGCGGAGGCAGCACCAGGAACGGCCTGCAGGGGAAAACAGATTTGTGAGCTTATGTTTAACCTTAGATTAGATTAGACGAAACTAAAGTCACATTTAATCATCCTATTTGGTGTCTAAAATAAGATCATTTTTAATATGCTGTCAATGTTTTGTGTTTAAAAGAAGAAAACAGGCCTGTGGGCAAACTTCAGAAAAGCTCCTTTCTTGGCTAAGCTGGCTGTAGAGGCATCTCTGTGTTTGACTGACAGAATGAAGGCAAATATAAACTAACTTGTGCTGCAGCTACATGTGATGGCTAGACTGTGTTTTGTTATTGGACAGAGAAGTACAGAACAACCCAACATCCATCACAAGTGACATTTGCAGCTACATTTATGCGCGAGTGTCGTTTTTCACTGTCACTTGTGATCTGACGCTTACATAAAGCAGATCTGGCCTCACATTAAAAAGCATGGAGTGTTTTATGGTCGAGGCATCTCCATCATCTTTTCAGCTGAAGTTTTTCTGACTCTTGACACGACTTTTAAAGCCTCCACCAGCTGTTTCAAGTACATATTTCATTTTCTCCATCTGTGGCCACACCAGCTGAATGAAAATGTTTTCCAGGGGAGTACGTGCCGGTGAGACTTTTTTGGCTTCCCACGCTGGAAAATTGTCCTGGAAAACTACAATTATAGCAGGAAGACGGAGGCAGTTGAGGGAACAATACAGGATTCCCTTGTTGATTCTAGTTTTTCCTGGGACACTTGTAGGAGGTATTTTGACTAAAACTGTAACCAGGTGCAGCTCCATCGTGAAACTGTGGCAATAATTCAAATATACACACTTCTGTATCCTTCCCTGCATTCCAAATCAAATACTTCTTCATTTCTATAAATAGTGCAGATTATCTTACAAAGTACACACTGTTGCATGTAGTATGCACAAAACTGTAACACACTAATCTGTCATAACACTGGGCATTAAGTTTTGACCATTTCCCTCAAATATCCGTCACAGTCTGTTGCTAAATGAGCTGTCATCTGTCTGTGCGCTCTCAGCAGCTTAAACTTGTTTGTACTTTTGCAAGACACTGTGACACATCCTCCGTGACGAATTGTGGGTCAGACTGGTCAGAATAGCATGCCTGCTAACACACTGCAAAATGCAGCCGTATGCAGCAGGACATCCTGGTATTTTTGACTTACTGCATTGGACATGATATGTATTGAGACATATTAAATCTTTTTTTAAGGCATACTACATGCTATAGTGGGGTGGATATTGCAATATCATGTCTGTTTTGAGGCATTGTAACAGTGAGGCAACGTTGCCATCAGGTGGCAATTACAACAAAGCCTTCAATGATTTTCATGCTTTTTAAAATTTTGGGCATTTTGACTAATATGCATTGTTTTAGACAAATAAGGTGACAAATACCACAGATATCATTGGAAAAACAGACGGGAAACGCTTGTAGTTTCAGTTGGACTCTACACAGGTAAAAAACATATTTAACCTCTTAAGACCTGGCGTCCACAAGTGTTGACATCACATTTTGGCTTATTATTTTATTTTTTATTTTAGTATTATTATTATTTTATTATTGGTATTTATTATTTTTTAAATTTATTATATAAAATCTTTTAAATATTTTTTAAAACATACTTTTATTTTCTATTTTTTTTCTTGTCTTTGCTTTTCAGACCAAATAGCAAAGAGAAATAAAAAATGCATATCAAACAAGAGCACGGGTCTTAAGAGGTTAAACATGAGTACTAATGTATAAAATATGTGTGAAAAATGATGACAGCATGTGTGATGCTGTGCACAATAAATAAATGTCATGGTAACAATATTAGAACACATTAAAGAGAAAATGCAACTTTACAGATGGAGGAAAAACAAGTGCACCCTTTGTACACACAAATGTACCAACTGCACCTCATGGATCATATAAATAGACAATTAAATGTTGGAAACGACCTTTGGATGTCAACACGAATTTTTCAAACTGATAAAGTCATCTCATGGCCAGGTTTTATAACACTTTATTCCCCTTTTGAATAGAAGAGAATCACTTAATAAAGACTCTGGTTCAACACTGATAGTCACAAACTTTCTAATTAAAGATGACCTCACAGATATCTGAAAAGGCAGCTCCACCAAATCAATTTTGATAATTTACAACTCAGATAGTCCCGAACAGAAAGAGATTTAGATGCTGTTATTACCTTCTTTAATCAAAACCAGTAATGGGGCTTGCCTGGCTGACGTGTTCATATTTCATCATTTATTTCCTCGACAAGCGTGTGCATGCTCGTGTGTGTGTTTATTTCTCTTTGGCGTACACACGTACACTCATGTGGTGTTTTGTCCGCTATTTATCTCTTCCCCCGCAGTGCAACGGCAGCCAGATTCAGGTCAGTCATTCATCAGATATTTAACCTCTTTACATCAGCCTTACCATCAGAATGAGTTGTTGTGTTGTGTAAAACTGATTTTCCTCGTTTCGTCATTTTTACTGAGTCACACCAGCGTAGATATGAATAATCTGTCCAAATTTAAATATGTAACAGTTGTGACTTTGTGTTGCCTCATAACCTTGTTTTCTTAAAAAAAAAATAGGAAGATAAAAGGAAAACTCACAGACGATTGAGTAAATAAATGAAAGGAACAGTTAACGTTACAAGTAGCATAACAAAGTGTCTCAGCAGCACATGCTTACAGAACAAGTTCATTGATTCTCTACGTCTCAGGACTCTACTGAAGGCATGAACACTATTAATCTACAAGATAGTCCCTCATCTGATGTTTTCATGATGATGAAATAGAGCGCTGTTTAACACATTGGTTTAAAAATCTCAAATAAGTGTTAAACTAGGTTGAGATCTGGTGACCGTGAAGGCCACAGCATATGATTTACATCCTGTTCTTATCCTTCACAACACTCAGTTACCCCTCATGCCTTCTGGATTGAGGCGCTGTCATCCAGTGAGCGACCACTGCCGTCAGGGTAGAAAGGTTTCATTACAGGACAAAGGTGATCACTCAGATCAGCTTGGTATTGATTTGCTGTGACCCTCCCTCTAAGCAGACAAGTGAACCATAACAGCAAAACTCCCCCCACAGCATAACAGAGGCAGCAGACCTTCTCACTGTACAGGTCATGGGTTCAGGCTTTTCCTTTCATGTGTCAGCCATCTGCAGTAAAAAAAATACTGTCATTTGCTTTCTTGCTGGGATTTAAGTGAGTAAATCAGTGCTGCTCCCATTACATGCTACGCCGCAGTTAGCTTGGCTTTGCAGAAGTGGGAACAGCTGACCTGGCAGTGTCCAAAACGCACAACCACACGTAGTAGGGATATAAACTTTAACCTATTATTTTTAACCACTAGTCAGTCATATTATCAGCAATAACTGATTAATCGTTAAAACAAATGAAGTACCGCAAGATCAGCTAGCCTTCCTAAGCCACTTAGCCAGAGGAATGCTGCCCTGGTAAACTTGTTTTCTTTCCATAAAAGTGAGCTCGCTGCTGGCTAAAGCCCAACAACCACCTCATCCATAACAATCAAAATTCAAGTAGAACACAACCTAAAAAATAATCACAAAACTACTCATTTAATGACAGTCCCATGATTCCTTGTGTTTGACATCATAGAACTGCCCAAAGTCTGAGCACACAGTCTGAGAACTGTAACTGGAAGCTAGGTAGGTATGGTAAGATTAGCTACATGAGTTGGCTGAACACTTTTTAATGATCGTAGCTTAACAACAATGTAGGAGGCCTTGAAGTCCCTCTCTGGTCATCGATTTAACCTCTACAAACTCAATCTGTGTATCAAAGTTAGAACTTTTCGCATGAAAATGTTTCCTTCCTCCCTTAACATGGCTTAGATGTAACTCTACACCAGTGTTTCCTCAAGAAGATGCAGATGGATGAAGTCTTTCTTCAACCACCCTTCGGCATTTTGCTGCAGCTGGAGATTCTGAAGTAGAATAATGATACAGGAAGCTCCATTCTGATGGATGACAGGGTTGTTTCCTTACTTTTGTTATGTATGAAACTCCCAGAAGTCTGAATTTATGTTTTGAGACTGTCATCTGTACACTGCAGTTTAAAGGTGGTAATGCTCAGCCATGAAGTTGACTGCTTGTTTCACTCATGGTGCCATATTATCCAGCATATTAACAGTACCAGAGATGTTAACTTTTTTTACTAGAAGGGGTCTTTAAACATGCATTTGATGGCTACATGGAAATAAAGAAGTGCACTGCTGTTCTTTTGCAAGGTGGACTGGAAGAATCCTGGTGTTATAATAATAAAGAAAATGTAAGATCACACTATTTATTCTGACATAACCTTGTTTGGCTGTCTTATGTGGTATCAAAGAGTTTAAAAGTTGCAACAGAAATGGCTTTTCGGATGAATCCTGACTGATGTGTTTGGTAAACGTTCCACTCTACATGTACAGTAGCTACAGTAGGCGCCCAGGGACGACACAGCACACCACCCTGAAACCATATTATGATTCAATGCTTCATTCCCGCTGTGCTGTGCTGTGCAGTGCAGTGGCTTATTCCATCCTCAGAGGATAGGATTACAAAGCAGCGCATCTTCCCAGAAATCAGCACCACGCTCCACTACGACTGACTGACAGTTCTAACTGCCAAAAACTCCGGGGAAAATTAAGTCAGTTATTTATGATAAGTCCAAGGTGTGAATTATATCAGAAAATGACATTTCAAAGGAATCTCTAAAAGTGAAGTGCTTTGCAAGTTGGTGGTGCTCTCGGATATCCATTCAGTCACATTAATTTCACACCACAGTGTGGACACTCGCTGAACCCAGAGAGGAAATCCTAGAAGAAAACCCAGACTGAAAAACTGGTAAAAATGCTCTTATCCTATTCAGCTGCCACTTAACGAGGATAATACCACTCAGAGGAAACGCAAAACCACTTCTTCATGTCCAATAGGGTTTGATTCCTTTAAAAATAAAAGAAAAGCCTTTTCAGAAGTGCAGAGCTGAAGCTAATGCATATTTTATTTGGCCTTTTCTGCATGAAGACGGGACTGAACAAAGATATCTTTGACAAGTTATGTTTTACAGTAGTTCAAAACACATTGTAGATGACACAGAGTGTTTTAATGCAGCGAATACAAGCAGATGAACACGACGCAGTGATCACATGCTGCTGTTAACAGATTTGATAATAAAAATAAAATGTACCACATAAAGCTATTGGGTATGTAACTTTTGCTGTATTAAGAACCTTTGGTTTTTTTTGCTAAAAAATGTGGATTCATATCACTGTACCACTTTTGTTGGGGGGCTGCAGGGTGCCTCGGTGGTTAGCACTGTTGCCTCGCAGCAAGAAGGTCGCCAGTTCGTGTCCCGGTGAGGACACTCGGGATCTTTCTGTGTGGAGTGCATGTTCTCTCTGTGCAGTGTGGGTTCTCTCCGGGTTCTCCAGCTTCCTCCCACACAGTCCAAAAACATGTTGAGGTTAATTATTGATTCTAAATTGTCTGTAGGTGTGAATGTGAGTGTGCTTGGTTGTCTGTCTCTAAGTGTAGCCCTGTGATAGACTGGTGACCTGTCCAGGGTGTCCCCTGCCTTCACCCTGAGTCAGCTGGGATAGACTCCAGCCCCCCGTGACCCTGGTGAGGATTAAGCGGTGTATAGATAATGGATGGATGGACTTTTTGTTGGCCTTACAACTGTTTCATCCCTCCCAGCAATCAGCAGAGAAATCTGGTCTGGGATCTTGGTCTCAATCGACGTACATCCCAGATTATTCAGGAATATTGACAGACTCATCAGAGCCTCCCTGATTAACATCAAGCATGTTTGATATTAATGAGTTAAAATCTGGACGGTTACAGTTTCCACCCACTCTGCTCTCTGGTTGCTCCCTCTGGCATGATGATCTTAGTGTGTGATGCACCATTATTTTTACATTTTGTAGGGTGTGCATGACTGAGATTAGAGAAGAATATCTGTGAAGTATCTCCTCATGTGTCTGATACAACCTATATTTAAAATCTGTTACGATTTTAAAACGTCTGAAGTGTGACCTAAGCACGAGCGCTAAATTTCTGGACAGCTGACACCAAAAAGACATCTGAGAGTTCCCTACATTGTTAAAAAAGTGAACATTTTCATCTCTCACTTATGGTTAGATCTAACTGACAAACCATCTCACCAGATCCTGGTTTTATTTGCCATAACTCATCATCAAAGATATTCTGATTTAAGATCAAAGTCCACTGTTATTGTGGACTTAATAGATCTAAATGATTTTCATGAGTCCATCTGCTGGCAGAGAGCCCAAAGTAAATCCTACTCATTTGTGATAATTATTCTCTCAGGCTCATAAAATGGTCCTCTACTCTACATTAGTGAACTAATGACAAACAGAACAACCTTGGGAAATGACTTGTGTGTGCTTTTTGCAGTGTCCTTATCCTTAAAGCATGAAATTGACAGATAAAACACACTTGACAAATTTATTTTGCAAGATTCTCATTACGGCCGACACTAATTTTCAGTCACCCATCATGACTGTGCCCTTTGTATGAACTCAACTATTCAGGATACTTTTAACAACAAATGTAGATTTTCAGGGGTAATTCTGACTCACCAGGTCCCAGTTCAGATGATAATGAAACAGACTATTTTCCTCTGAGGCTTTTAAAGCCATGAACTAGTCTCAGATGTGCATTAGAAAACCTTTAAACATTAAATGAAACAAGTTGATTTCATGTTATAGTCACTTTAATCACATTACAAACCCATCAGTAAAGGTCTTTTAGAGCTTTACTCCCTCGTGGCCCTCTGGCTACCGTAATTTCCTAAAAAATGATTTCAAACAGAACCCCGTACCCAACTGAGAGAAACCATTTGGGACTGTGGTGTTTACTGTTTGTGCAGCTGCCTGGTCTTTCTGTAAATTTGCTGTAAGCACATGTTTAATCAAGATAGCAGCTCTTAGATATTGACACACTGTGTTTGCCTAGTCTAGATTTTGTGTGTATCAGTTTCTCATTCCACAACCACAGCTATCCTTGTCTTTACACCTACATTCTGCCAGGAATTTGAACTCTGGCAAGGGTTTGCAAAAAGGCGAGGCTTTCCCTTCTGTTTAGCAGTTGGCTGATCAATGTGACAATTGGGACCTCCTCCCTGTCCTGAGAGCTCGCGCTTCAACTGATGGCTGCTTCCCTAAAGACATATTTACAGTTCAGGCTTTGAAAAAGAAGGAGGGCCCAGTCAGGAATGAAAACACAGAGGGTAGTGTTATCCATTGATACAGACAGCAGGCCTGCAGCAGCACAACCGTCACTGTGAAGGAGCAGATCTTTTACTACTGTACCTTCTCCTGGATCCTCTGTCTTTCCTATAAACCTGTAAAAGCGCTGAACCACTTCTCTTCTTCTCAAGCTAAATTCAAGCCAGGTAGATATTCATAGCTCAGGTGTGAAAATTATCTCAGTGATTTAGACCTCACAGAGACCTGCGTGAAGTTTCACGAAACCCGAAAAGATGATTTTATCCTGTTTAATCGTATTCTGTCTCCATCCCATCCCGCTGTGTTATTCGGCCCCTTTCTACTTGTCTTCAACCTTTCAGCAGAATGCTAAACAGAGAATTTTCTCTCCAGGGAACCGAGAGCCTGCTGACATGTCACTCCGCCTGACATTCCTCGTGCTCCCCTGGGTCGTCGAGATGGAGTTTTATCTCTTTACAGTGGAGGAAAGATGTTGGAATATCTGTCCATCCGTCCATCCAAGTGAAGTCCCCCTGGTTCCCATCAATCTGTTCTACGTCTAGGGAAGTGTCAGCGCTGACCGGCCCACGCAGCTTCTTACGAGAACGCTTGTGGGGCGAAAAACTTGTGCAAGAAAGTAGGAATGTCACTGCTCGGGAGAGGATAAACGCACCTACGTATCAAGAGGGAGAACATTTGTAGTTTTTACGTGGAGACAAAGGACCACATATTAAGCCTGTACAATGTAGTTAACTGAATGACGTAAATGGTAACAAAGGAATTATGGTCAAATGGGCCATTTTTGGTCTTTCTACTGTGCCACAAATTGAAAAGTGCTCACCAAGACCTGTTCCATTTAAAAAAAAGCTCTGAGTAGTTATGCTTTCTTTTGCCTTTAGACAGCCATTAGTCTCATTGAATGAAAACCACTTCTTCACAGTGTGCAGTCCAGGAAATGCAGCGACACTTACAGCGCTACATGTGTGTCTGCGTAGACATTATTGGTATTGGCGATAATATTAGGGAGCAGAAATAAAAAGCACAGTTTAACTTTGTTGGTAGCGTAGACAAGGTAATCACAGGGCACTAAAAATGTAAAAATGTTAGAAAGTACAGGAAAAATACAAGTTTCAAAGATGTATTTATCATCAACTTTGGGACATTTTTCCATTAACTGTCATCAGTTTTACTCAAATCTCAGAAATTATTCAAAAAAGTTCCAATTACCACTCACATTTACCCCTTGCTAGCTATTTGAAAGCAACTTTTAGAGGTAACTTTTAACGACTTAACTTTGAGTTGTTGTAAAGCACCTGCACTTGTATTGGTTTGTGTAGTTTTGATCTTGGTCAGGGTAGATCACTTCCCTCAGGAAGGGTCCAAGCATTAAACTGTGTTACAGCTTCTGAGGTTTAAACCAAATAATTTGATTATTTCTGAGCTGCTCTGTGAGTAATATCTGCATTGCAGTGCTCAAACTGGTGATTCAAACTGGTAAATTCTATCCTCTTTCCACGCTGGGTTGGTTTTTTGAGTCCAAAATCTTCCCAGTGCCATCTTTTCTTAACCCTGCTTGAGCTATCTGCCCCCTACAATGGAATAAAAAAGGTCCTGCCCTCTCAAATACACAAGCAGACTTTGAGAGTTGCTATGCAAAGAGAAACAGGGTGAGTAGGAGGAGGAACATAAGGCCAATTTCCTCTGCAGGAAGCTTTGTGCATGTTCTGACCACAAGAACCCCGTTACAGAACCTCTTTTAGGGCCATTTTCAGAATAGAAAAAGCAACTACTCCAAGATAGGTACTTCTGAGCATCTCTGAAAACTAATGGGTGGTACTCAACAGAGACTCCTTATTCTTGGAAAGGACAAATGCTGATTTGTCAAACTTGTAGAGCACAACAAGCACCATTTATTTTCTGCACTCTTTATGTCCTTGTTGAGTAGCAGTCTTCTCCTCTCTAATACCGCCATCAACAGTGGAAAAATTCCCCATTTGAGCAAACATAACAAACACTCCACTGTTCTGTCTATGACGTAGAAATTGGAGTTACATCCAGTACCTCATTTGCTGCTCTTTTGGTGCATGGTTTTGCTGTCATTGGACAAGTACAAAGGATTTGGGCGGTTAGTCTTTTACAGTGCAAAGAGCGGATGTAAAAGAACAAAATATTTAGTATAAGAACAGTATGGTTGGGTTGATGCTGTGGGATTCTACACTGTAATGGAAACAGACAGACTGAAAGGCCATATTATGGGACCGTTTCTGTAAATACTTGTGTTACCTTGCACCTGAACCCAAGTTCCTGCAGTGGACAGCTGCCTATAAGCACAACTGAAGGTAGTGAAGGTCGTGTACTAACACAATGAAAACATGTCGTGTGTATTATCACTCCTCTTTTCTTTCTGGCAGTTTTAAAATGCCAGCAATTTTCCACTAGGACCACATAATTCCAACATTCTCAGTCCCAGTTTATGATCTGTTGGTCCTCACCTGAGTTCAGAAAGAGATCACAGGACCAAACATTTCTACTGCTGGACTCACCTCTCAGTCTGTAAGGTGACTTTGGAGGGCTCAACGTTGGGGTTCTCCCATTCCATCTGCGGGCAGTGCATGAAGTAACACAGGGTATAGAGGGCCTCGGGCTCCCAGTGCACCGTGGTGTTGGTCTTCTGGTGGACTGGAGTCCCGTTGCTGGGGTTCTTGATGTGCAGCGGCTGGAGGTGGTGCATGGCCCGGGACACCAAATCACCTGGAAGGCATTTTTAATATATGAGAACGGTGCGTGTACTTTGACAGCATGATGTGATGCAGCACAAACCAAATGACACAAATAGAAATTCATTAAAGATGAAACAACAACAATGTGTACTACGCTGACAACAAAGTCCTACGCATGACTCTCACAGCACAAACCCTTTTTCCTGCAACACTCCTCTGACATACGAGTACTCACAGCACTTCTGTGATGAAGTAGAGACGCACTCATTCATTCACACACCCTCTGATTCAGCAAACACAGTCATACACATATGCCCACACAATCTTGAGTGGGAAACTGCTGCCTTGAAATGAATCTTGAGCACATCATACCTCTTTCAACAAAGCACTCAGGCGTGTGAGCTCTTATTCCCACCTAATTTTATCAGGAGCTACTGTTCTTGTCCTCTATTCCCACTGTTTGGTTATGTGACCGTCTAGAGAGCCACAGGGAATCTACAATATCTGTGTCAGTGAGTGTGTGTGAATTTTAAAACCCCGAGGACTTTCTACCACAAGAAACGTGACTGTAGACTGACAAAGAGATGCATCTTCAAAAGGAGAATTCACAATAAGCAACTAAACAAGAAGGACCTATTCTTACGTGTAGCGTGCAAAACTACGAGTCTGTTGTAAGTATTACAGTGATTCAGGGTGTCCTTTCTATTTTTTATCCATCCAGGGTACAGCGTTGACAGGTGATGTCTTCATTCATTTCATACTGTCTCTGTGCAGCAGGAGAAGGCAAAGAACGAGAGGTAAGTCAGAATTGTTTCAGTTTTAATAGTTTTGAACACCAAATTCTCGTCAATACATCTTTACTACAGTGGCAGACATTCGACACTGATGTTTAGAGAGTCATAATTCTCTGATTTAGACTGCTTCTCAGCAGTTTATCGATGAGGTCATTAGTGATGCATTTAAGAATAACGATGTTGCTCTGAGAGGGAAAATATCGCAGTGTGGGCCTGCAGGGTTGATTTCTCAGAAAAATGTGCACCCCCATTGATCTAATTATTTACTCAGTTTACTGGAACACTGGAGGTTCCAGCGGGAATGGAGGAATATGGACACTGAGCTAAGACAGACAACAGTCTCATTCAAGTGAGATGCAAATATACCAATATATGTGAAAATTTCAGGGTGTGAGCTGCAGTGCAACAGTAAACACATCGGTGCACCACACACACACACACACACACACACACACACACACACACACACTCATTTTCTGATCTAGTTTGATTGTTTATTCCAAAAATACCCAGTCAGAGGAAAGTTGGCCTGTCTTGAAACCTCATTTCTTAGACAGAGTGACACGGTGAGTCTGAGCCTAAGGTTCTTCATCTGTCAAACTAACGGCCCCTGACAGAGTTCACAGGCAGTCAGACGAAAACAGAGCTCGCTGCTCACAGCAAAGTTTGCACTGAGGCTCTAGGGAACCTCATAGACGTTTGAGAAAGAATTAAATATATCAATAAATAGTTAAAAACAAATAAAACATGGAAAGCTGCCATCTTCAGATATGACATACCGGTTATGTCGTGTGCAGCAGGAGCAGCTTCTGAATGTGTTGAGTGCAAATCAAAAAGTCAAAGTTGGGACTGCTCTCATATGGATAAGGTGGGGTGGCTGGATGGGCCAATAAAACGTCACACTCATATCAGCAGTGGTTGCTTTATTCCAATACCACAACCGCAATCTTAACTCAAGTTCGAGCCTTAAGCAAACCAAACCCAACCATCATAAATGATTTGTACTTGGTTTGGAAGGCGCTAGCGAACGATAAAAGTGTTTGTGTCATTCTGAAAAGGAAAACTGTTTATCTTGTCCTCTAACTTGGAGAGCTTTCTGCAACCACAGTTGCAAGAATGTTGAAGTGTTTAGTTGATAAATCAATTTATCTATTGAGAAGACTAGCATGCCACACATTCTGTTGTTCCAGCTTCTCAAATGTGAGAATTTAAACTTTTTTTTTTTAGTTTGAACTTCTGACCAGACAAGCAATCTGAAATGAGGAAGGCAAAAAAAAATAAATATGCATAGTCTATAAATAATAACAGAAAACAGTCATTAGTGGTAGCTCTACGGGAGCTTCAGGTATAAATATGATACAGAAATGGGTTCCCTGAATGCGTTCCACTCCGTTGTGCAGACTATATTTGCTACGCATGTTTGGCGCTCAGTAGCATTTAGCCAGAACCTCAAGCAGGCGGAATGAACTGAGCATAAAGAACCTTTCCACTCCAGGTGCTCGGGAGGTCCCCACGCGACTCAGTGTGTGTTTACGCAGTGTGCTATTGGCCTGAATATTAAGAGGAGAAATGAGACACTAATAAACATTAAAGAGACAAAACAAAGACGACTGAAACATGCATTTATATTACAAAATACCCTGCTCAATGGGATACAATATGAGCAACCCATAAAACCGACGGCAGAGAACCACTAACTCCAAGAACTGACAACGTTCCCCTGGGGTTTGCAGAGCTTGCTGAGGAGAAACACAACTATAAAAACCACACCACATCTATAAATAACAGCCCACATGTAGTTTTTTTTACCACATCTAACATGAGAGACAGGCACCGTACAAACAGTTAAACCGCCGCTGTCCCTCTGTGCTGAAGCCAGCGTCGGAGCTGATAATCAAACCTTATTTGCCTCCATTAATTATTCCTGTGACTTTGGTTTTGTCAGCAGGACAACATTTGTTCATATCTCCTTTGCTGTAATTATCTATGCAACACTCCTATGGGGTTCATGCTTCATCTCATTTGAATTAATCATAGGATACAGCTCCGTGTCTTCCTTTCTCCTAGCCAAGTGTTTGCCTCTTGGAAGGACTCATTACAGAGCTAAACTTTGTTCCTTTTTGCTTGTGAAAAAAAAAAAACAGGGGGAAACAGCATGGCGCAAAAACTTCCTGCTGTAACAGACTGTCACAAACACAATAAATTCTGTCATATAAAAAGCTACAAAAAAAAAGAATTTCCTTGTCCTCGTTTAGTGGTACATTACATTCAGTTAGTGTAATTGAGTCTGAGTGCTTCTGCATGGCTAATAACGTTCATGTAACAAGTCATTACAAATAAATAACTCCTTTTACCTTTGACTGCACAAAATATAACTTAAACAGCTTATATTATGGTGTTTACATGCTCACAGTTCCATTTTTAGGGTCTACGAGAATGTGTTTAGATGCTTTAATGGTCAAAAATCACATTACTGCAGCACTTTTAGATATAAGAGAAAAACCATGGACTTCTAACAAGCATAGAATTCATATAAAGATGCACAAACCCTCTTTTAATTTTTTAAGCCTTGATATAATTTAAACAGGTGAATTATACAAAAATTCATCCTCTGTACAGCTGCCATGAAAAGTAAAATGAGCTATAAAGACCAAAAACTGCTTTGTATCAGGCTGTAGACTTGTCTGTTTCTACTGTAAACTGTTTAACACTGAGGTCTACTGGGCTTGAGCCAGCCTCTAGTGGCGATTCGAGTAATTTCATGCTTTGTGATTTCTGTGTGATAGATCTTAAACTACTGACATTTCCTTATAGTGGAAAAGTTTTGCTCTATAGTCCTAATGACGTGGCTCGGTTCAGACTGAAATGTCTCAGCTACGATTGGATGGACTGCCATGAAATTTTGTAGAAACGTTCATGTCTTTAGGATGAACTACAATAACTTTTGCAACCCCCTGACGTATTTTATCTACCACATCAATTCAATTTTTCAATTCAGTTTTATTTATACAGTGCAATTCACAACATATGTCATCTCATAGCGCTTGACATAGTAAGGTGAAACCAATTTAAACAGAGAACCCAACAGTCCAAAGTTGCCTTTGGACTCCATCTGAGCAAGTGGTCTGCAACGGTGGAAAGGAACCAAAAAAAAAAGCAAATGGAGACAAGCAATATAAACAGAGCAATAAATAGAATTATCATCTGTCAAAATTTCAATTCATCATATATTTTGATTAAAGTAAAACTACAGTTTATTGGTAAATGGCTGGCTGCTACCTCGCTAAACAGAGATGGTAAACATTATATGTGCTAAACATTAGCATGTTAAGATAATTAGTATATGTTAGCATGCTAGATTAGCATTTAGCCCAAAGCAAAGCTGACACATGGAGCCAGTAGAATACCTGTAGAGTCTTGTATAAGGAGCTCACATTGTGTTTTCTGAAGTTTTCTATTTCTTTTGGTGTTTTAAAACTTTTTTAAGAATGTAAAAAATCTGCAAACTTGTAAAGCCCAAAGTCCACGCCAAAGGGAGTTCTTCTCTCCAACAGCATCCACCTGCCTGAAATGCCTCGTTCGCATGCGGCAGCCCCCACGGCTAAAAAATGATGCCAAAAACTGCTGGTACCTTGTCTTCTTCTAACACTACCAGAAAAATGCAAGTTTTGGGTTTGATGTTTTTACAGAGCTAATAATTCCCACCTAACAAGTCATTAGAGATAAAAATCTATTCTCCTCTGACTCCATCAAAAGATAACTCAAAGTTCAAACATATCAGGCTCTTCAGCAAAGCTTCTTTATTACAAACTAATGAAGACCTCCAGTCATCGAAATATACAGACTCACAAAGTGAAAGTGTTTCACCTGAACTGCACCTTCTGTGAGCTGACAACTCAACAACTGAAGCTCTGTAAAGTCAACTTTAATGGCCAGATTATTTTTCACTGTCAGGGTTCAGATAGCTTTTCCAAAATATTTCCCTTCATAGTTTTTTTTTTCATCAGGCACAATGAAGCACAATATAATAATGTTCCTAACAACAGGAAGCCACAGGGGTAGAGGTTTGACTTCATGTACTCAGAACAGTTTACTCTGATGTGATTTAACTTTGGCAAGTTTTTCTTATGCAATATACGCTATGAGCACAAAACCCAAAAGGATTTTAAAACCAATTTCAGTCAATAACATTCTTTCTGAAGTAATTACCTGTGATCATGTTTTGCCTGTTTAAGGC